AATAACACTGTCTCCTTACAAGGTCTTACTGATTATTAGCCTCCCACCTACCCCGTAACATTTGTTCTTTGATCGTCTGCCCCTTCATATCAGGCACCTTTCTCCGTGCCTTTAGCAGGGCAGGTTTTCCTCCATCTGAGAGCTTTTACTCTTCTCTCTCCCGGGGAAAATCTTCCCTTTAGTTCTTCACATAACTGGCTCCTCCTCATGGTCAGGGCTCATCCCAAATGTGACCTGTTTGACTACCCAGGTAGCCTTCCTCTGAATTTACTCCATCTCCCATTTTTCTTTCATAACCTGTATCATCACCTGCAATTGTCTTATGTAGTCTTTATTTGTTTACTTGTTTATTGTCTATCCCCCCCATGTGTATATAAGTTCCTGGATGGTCAAAACCTTTCAGTCTCGGTCATCACTCTATGCCCAGCCCTAGGGGCTCAATACATGTTTGTTAACAGCAACAAAAATATAATGAGTTAATGGGACCCTCTAATGCCCATCCAGATGAGGAATCTTTATACCAACTACATCATGCTCTTGAAACAATTATTTGGGTACACACGCACTTGCACATGTGTGCACACACACAAACACGTACACACATTCAGGTTTGTAAGAGGAGACAGGTGAAGTAAAAGATTATATTAAAATCAGAGTTTGGAAAAGACAGCGTCAGTCCTCTGTTCATGTAAGCAAAACCTTGAAAACATTACTTTTCTCTAAGCTGAAATGGGAAGCTATGAGTTCTAGAAGATTTTGTGGGTAAAAGGCCACTCTCTGCCTTTGGACAAATGGTGCACAGCAGGGCTGTGTGACAAGGAAGGTGAGATCATGTTCGGCAGCTGCCACCCAACTTGGAAAGGGTTGATCGATATGACAAAGTCTTTTCACAAAGAACATAAATCAAAGAAGATGACTGACAGTGAAGTAAACATTTTAGAACTAGAGTAATTAGGAATATATTAGCAATTAAAATAAACTTATTATCATTAGCAAAATTGGCAGTTACTTGCAATTTCCCCAGGGGCCTCATATCAAGTTTATCCTTGTAGATTATATTAAGGCAGGATTAATGTTTCTGGAGATACAGCTTTAATTTCTGTGGATTTCATTTTTTCATATCCCTGTAGAGCTCAGTGGTTCTCAAATAATAGTCTTGTGGATCTCAGGTTTTCTATGAGCTGGACCCAGGTGTTGTAACTCCAAAACTGAACAAAGCTCTTGTTTACCCAATTCTCAGAGAAAACTAAATGAGTGGATACGATTTTTTAGTTTCCTCTTTTATGCAATTTTTTTAGGCCTTCACCGCCTGCTAGCACATGTCTTCCAGGAAGTACTAGAAAATGACAGAACTCCTGAGCCTGAAGCAAATAAATAAACTAATCAAGGGGAAACCTTGGTCACCAGCCTTCTAAGATCAATGCATCTTCCTTCTCTGGACATGTGTGCTGATGGGCTGGACTTTTTGGATGGTAACCGAGGCAGGACTGAACTCTATACCTCTTTTACCTTTTGATTTCTGCTTATTGTCCTAACAAATGGGAACGGTATCTTTTAGCACCATAAGGCATCCAAGTCATATCACTTAGGGTTCTTTGTTGCTAGTAATGAAAACGGACCCTGGCAATAGAACCAAAAGGGTAGTAGGGGTAACTTTGTCTTCTACAGCAGGAAACTCGTACCTGGAATCGCCCTCCAACAAGACCCAGAGGAGTAAATACTGGGACAAAACAAATGTCCACTTCAAACTTAAGGTTATGAGAGACAGTCAGTGCGAGCAAGATTCTACTCTGTGTTAGAGTTGCTTTACTCAGAAGAATCTGGAAGACTTAGTCTCTTCCCACTGAAGCTGGGGAAGGTCCAGAAACAACAGATGTCCAAGGGACATGACAGGATGGAGCTGGGAGGCAGTGGGGAAGGGTGGGCTGAGAGGCAAATAAGGAAACAGTTCAGGAAACCAGAAAGGGAGAGGGCATGCCGGTGCCCATCTGAGAGGGGCTGACCTCATGGGAAATGAAGGAAATACTTTATTCTATATTTTAGACTCTGAGAGAAATTGTGACCTGTCACTGGTAAGACTGTGTTCTTCACGGCAATGACTAACTGGGTCTGAACACTTTCCCATGGATGTCGTAGGGATGTAAGAGGAGGGTTACCCAAACAGATGTATATTCATTTGCTCTGGAAGTAAAGGGCTTAAGTTTAATTAATGGGTTTTAATACACACACCAGTATTTTATACTGTTTCCCTTTTCAGATGAGAATTATTGGTCTAGTTAAGCAAGAAGAGCAACCATAGGTATGAAAGTTTAGACCAAGGAAGGACACTGGAGAACACCAAGTGGGGCTGGTGGGTTGATCTAGGCACCTGGAAGTTGGGTCTCAGTAGCCTTGGAGGATTCAGGGGGAGACTTTATCTCTGCGTTTTTCAAACCCTACTTCTAGGAATTTCCCATGAGCCTCTAAAGGCCTCTGAAAGCAAACAAAATCAAACACTGTTCTTTTCCTAGGTCTACACAGACAAATAGCCGATTGAATTGTCTCAGTTCATATCAGATTCGTGCTCAGGAACACTGCCATCTGCTTCAAACCAGAGAAGAGCCTCTTTTATGTGTCTTATGTATTAGGATTTGAACAGAGGACTGAGACTGCTCACACAATGCTTAGAAACAACTGAGTCCAGATTCCTACCTCAATGAGGCATCTCCTTCTACAAAATCCTGCACCGATCAAACACATTTTAATTAAGTAAATGCAACTAACAAACTGTATTTAATTGAACAGCATTAAACCATCCCATAAACATGCAGTGGAAGGGACTTGTCCACCCTTTGAATCCTGGTGTACTTCCAGCCACTTCAACCAATAGACTACAAAGGAAAAGACTTGACCATTTCTCGTAGCAGTCAAGTCCACCGTTTCGGTTCTCTCCTGCTGTATTAAACTACTCCCAAACTTATCTCATGATTTTGTGGGTCAGGAATTCCGGCAGGGATCAGCTGGGTGATTCTCCTGTACTATGTGGCATTGACACACTGACATTCAGAGATGGATGGTCTAGTTTACGGGGTCCAAGACAGCATCACTCAACATCTGCCATGTGGACAGGGAGGGCTGAAAGGCTGGGGCTTGGCTGGAGGGGCCACCTACACTTGGCTTCTCCAGCATGGTGGCTTTAAGGTAGACAGACTTCTAATAAGGCAGCTCAGGACTCCACAAGTCAGTGTTTAGCAAAGCAGATTTTTATGAACTAACTCTGCAAATTACAGAGCATCTCTTTCTTTGTACCCTATTGGTCCAAGTGGTCAGAAGCATGCCCAGATTCAAGGTAAAGGGCATTGACACTGCCTTTCAATGGAAGGAATGTAAAATAATTTGTATCCAGGCAGGTTTAAAATCTTTCCATCCACCACTGGAAATTCTGGATGAAAGAAGGAGGGAAGGAAGAACTTGAAACTGTAGAAGTGCTGGTAAGCTTGGGAGCTTGGTTTACTTGTTATAGAGTTGCAATGAGGAAATTCTTCTGAAGGAAAATTAATGCAAAGTACAACGAAATTGTAACCACAGTATTAGTTACACATCATAAAAATACTGAATTATATAATAATAGTAAAAATAATAAGAACCCAATAGCTTTCTAGGTCAATGTCCCTGGAATTTATCCAGCACAAAAGAAGAAGGAGACCTATTTTGCTGTTCCTGGAATTTTTAAAAACCGTCTTTAAAATTTATTTCTACTTATATATAGAATATGTTGCAGCAGTTTTCTCAGGAAGCCCCACTCATCTTGTTACATTTCCAAGAGCCAAAGAAATAAGTCTATTTTGAATAATGATTTGCATAAGCAGACACACACCATGGCTCTTTAAACTACCACATTCAGTTTGAATGAAATGAACTTGACTTTACCAGGAGCTGTCATATTGTGATTTATTTCCCAGTTTCCCTTCCTGTCAGTGGACTGTAACAATCATAGGACACTGTACACCTGTCCTCTGTGGCCCATGGGTCCTCTGATTCTAAGAAACGGTGTCTGTGAGGTTGAGTTGAGGAAGGACACAGCATAACCAGCCCAGCCTAGCTCATGACAAGTTACGAAGTAAATATTCCTGGTTTCCCTGTTTTAGCACCCACATCTCTTCTCTATTCCACCAGAGTGTCAAACAATCTGTCAAGACCCTGCTCCCAGAAGGAGCTCTTATCCTAGATTTTAGTGAAAAGATCCCAAAATGAAGAAGTGTCCAATGTCCAAAAGAATGGGGCACCTTTCCTGGGTAGCCTGCTCCATCCCCTAAATACTGAGTCTGCTGTTTTAAAAAAGTGTCTTTCATTCACTCAGATTATCTCATTAAAGCTTCACAATGGGGCTTCCCTGGTGGCGCAGTGGTTGGGAGTCCGCCTGCCGATGCAGGGGACACGGGTTCCTGCCCCGGTCCGGGAAGATCCCTACATGCCGCGGAGCGGCTGGGCCCGTGAGCCATGGCCGCTGAGCCTGCGCGTCCGGAGCCTGTGCTCCGCAGCAGGAGAGGCCCCAGCAGTGAGAGGCCCGCGTACCGCCAAATAAAAAAAAAAAAAAGCTTCACAATGATCCTTGGAAGTTACTATTAGCACTCATCTAACAGGTGGAAACTAAGGTTAAGGAAGTTTAAGGTCACACCTCTGGGAAATGGAGTGTGGGCCGATTCCAGATTTTCTGGCTCCGGAAGGCGTTAAATAAAATACAAAGAGAAAAAAAAAGTAAAGGGCGGTCTAAGAGGCACGCCTAGGAAGCAGCTCCCCTCAGGAAACAGAGGGTCCCTTGGTTCTTTGTTTAGTCCGGCCAGTTGATCTGGGGAAAGGGAGGCAGTCTGCGAAGGTGGAAGGTGGGGACGTGGAGGAGGACTAGGTCTGGGTTGCGGGGTGCCCCTGTGTCCTCGCGGGGAACCCCTCCTCTGCCCATTCTCGCCTCCTTGCTCCTCCTGAGTCGGCAAACGCGGCCCCGCCTGGCCCCGCGCGGCCGCCGTAGAATCCCCGTTGCCATGGCTCCCAGGTGCGGGCGCGCGGAGGAGAGGCTAGGAGGCGTCCAGGGAGTCCTTGGGGGTCCTGGTCGAGCTTCCTGGGCCCGCGAACCCGAGAGGCGCCATGGGACGGAGTAAGCGCCCTCTCCCACCTTCCGCCCTCGATTGTCCCCATTCTGGGCATCGTCCCGGGCCTCTTGGGACCCTCGGCGCCCCTTCCCGCCAGCGGGACCACAGCCCGGCCTAGTCCTTCGCTCTCTAAAGACCGGGCAGTGACATGTCGCCCGCTGACTGGCGGGGCAGCTTGGCCCCGGCCAGGCCCAGGTTCCCGTTCTGTAAAATGGGGTGGGCGTCGGGGCGGGGGAGGAAAGCATCGGATTTGACGGAAAGGCTGGCTAGTGGAAGGTCTAGGGTTTGGGCGTCAGACACGCCGGGTTCGAGCCCGCGCATCTCCTTGCCTGCAGCGTGGGCTAGTCGCTGTCTCTGAACCACAGCCCTCGGACTCTTTGGGAAGGCAGTGTAGCCTGGTGGTTGAGGGAACCGACTCCGGCACCTATCAGCTGTGAGACTTCCTCACCTCCAAAACGTAGGCAATAATAGGACGTTTACAGACAGCCGGTGTTGTAAATGTGATTATAAATGTACCAAGAGACTGAGTTGGCAGGATTAACAGTTATTTATGTTAGATTGAACCAATTATACCAGGTTGAACCTTTCCAGTATTGACACCGTCTTTGACCTTTACACGTGGCAATTTTATACAGTTCCACCGAATTTATCACTTACTGTAAAAGTGTTATAGTGAATACTTTTAAATCAAGAGACCGTGGTGGATGATGGGGTTTCTGCCCTGGAAGAGCTGACAGCCTGGTGGTGGAAGGGGGCTGGTGATTTTAAATGTTAACACTTCGTTCGGAAACCAGTTATTTCCTTTCACACTTTTCCTCCCCTCATCCCCATACTGTGGTCCCAGATTTTTCTTTTTCTTTTTGCTCATCAACATTTTTTACTTTTCTGTGGATTATCCTTTGCCCTCTGTCTCTGAATCTTGTCCACCTTTATTTGTTAAATCATTAACTTATCAGAATTGTATTGGAGTTCCTACCCCGTGCCAGGCGTTGAGGACACAGTGGTGAACAAACAGGTGGGCCGGCCCTCCTGGAGCTTCTCCCTTTGAGGAAGAAGGCAAACACTTGCTTAAAAATATCAGTCACTATAGAGTCAAGACTAAGATACAAGATTCTTTTTACTGCTCTTTCCACGGTTCTGAACTGTCTACATCAGGAGAAAAAACTTGGGCTTCTGAGAGAAGATGGTAATAATGGCTTAATAATGGCAGCAAGTACGTCGTGTACTTGCTGCCTTCTAGGCAATGTTCTAAGTGGTTTCTCTGTGTTAACTCCTGGAGTCCTCACAAAAATCTTATGAAATAGACACTACTGTCACCTCCATTTTGCAGATGAGGAATCTGAAGCACAGAGAGGTTAGGCAACTTGCCGATTGTCACACAGTAAGTGATGTATCTGGGATGTGAACCTGAAAGGGCTGGCTTTCTTTAATATGTTACTACGCTGTCTCTTGAATGTAAGTGAAGGTCTGGTGAGGAGAAGAGAGGTCGTAGTGCAAGTTCTCATGTTGAAAGTCAAAGAGACTACTTTTAGTGTCAGAATCTGCGCAGGGAGAGCAGTGTCAAGGCCAGGGGCAGTGGCTAGGGGAAAATGAAAGAATTAGTTCTTCTCTGCACATTTAGTCTGGTGTAGATTATGATTTAGAGAAGAATGAGCTGCTTTCCTAAAACAAAAATTTAATATAGAATTCATTTTGTATTACTGTGACTATCAAATTAGGGTGATTAGTCTCATGGAGATATGATCTGTGTATGCATTTGCTGGGGGAAGTTAAGTACCCACAGAGCCGTAGGATGTTATCCCTGGAAGAGTGCTCAGTGGTCTCTAATCCATGCCATGTGTAAAACCATACAGATGGAACCTGTTATGCAGAAAGTTTAAGCATCTGGTCCCGAACCTTGCACTTGTTCTGTGATAGGTTAGAATTAAATTTGGGGCTCCAGCTCAGTGGCCTTTCATAATGTCTTCATTTTCTTAAAGGCACATAGTGGAAAAAATCAGTTTTATATTAATTCCTCTCAGTTCACCTTGACTAGGAAACTCCCATTAGAATCATCCTCCTTATTCATTGCCATTATATTGTAGACTTCATCAACTGCTTATAACAAATACTTTACATCTCTTGTTTCATACTTCTAAGTCTTAATTCATTTGGTGGACAGTGTTGTTCACCACTAATTTCAAGCTCTTTGAAATTGAGATGAGATACGTTGCTAGATACCATGTGGATTGTTCATCACATGCCTATGAACAATCGCTAAGTGCTTTTCACAAACATTTTAGCTATATAAGGAAAAGCTTTTTGATGAAAGATGGGCTTCCAAGAAAAACATCCTTTAAAGAAATTGCGTATATTTACATACCAAGCACATAGACAAAGTTTAAGAAATAAGCAAAACACTTAATTATGGATAAATAGAGTGTTTTAAATTTGTTTTATTTTTTAATGGAGGGCCTAATTTAATTTTCAAACTGAACTGGTTACTAAAGAGTGTAGTAATTTGTTTAACTTTGTTCTTAACTTAATGACTTTATTTGACAATAGCTTTAAGGCTAGAACAGCTATTTCCTTTCTGTAATTATTCATTGATGTAACTGAAAGAGGAATGCTTAGACAAATATTCTGTACCTTAAGAAAATTAAAATACTTTGACTGTTATATTCATTTAAGTTTATATGAGTGGTCATAGTGAAATTGCTCAGACAGTGCACTTGAAAATTTAACAATTTAAACATGTGCATAATTCTTCTTAACCAGTCCTTCTTTGAGAGCATACTACCCCCCTGCTGAATGCTTTACATGCATAGGGCACTTAATCCTCCCAATAACTGTCTGAAATAAGTACCATAGAAACTCTCTTGAGACAGGTCATTGGAAACACTTGGTTAAAGTGCTAAGTCATAAAAATGATACATTTTAGGGCTTCTTTCTACAGCTATAATAGAGTAACTGGTATTGGACTTAACCTTCCACTGTAGGCAACTATGAAATTGGGCAGGAACAACAAGTAGGACATAACCATGCTCCTTGAGAGAAGGGGAATGCAAAAGTCATACCCCACTGTCACCCCAGCTTTCTTTGTAGAAGCACTTTCCTACTTGCAGTAAAGAAGATAGAATTTAAGCAAAGTAGTGGTCTTGCAGAGCTAAGGCAGAAATTAGCCTTCTGAGCTGCAGAAGTTGCTGTAATTTATGGGGTAGGATACAGAGAAGGAGGTACAGTATGGAATGGGGGAGGGAAGAAGACTTCATGGGGACGTTTTCTATAGGATTTAGGCAAGGGCTGGCTGAGCATGTGTAGCAAAGACTTGGAGAGACCTGAAAGAGATCACCTACTGTGGGGCAGAGTATGGAATGGAGATGCCAGAGGTCAGGCAGTCCTGGAAGACACAGGAGTCCTGGCCCATCCGGAGTTAAAAGACCTTGCTGAGCCCTTTAAGTATTCATTTGAGACCCCAAGAAAACCATACCTTAGCAGTAAGTACTGGGCCCTGGAGTAATGGCCATGCTCTAGGGCTAAGTTCAAAACTAAAACAGATCCACTCTAACAAAAAATACAGTCAAGCCTAACAGGGAAAAAAGGTTCTGTCAGTACTTTCACTGCCTGCCAGAATAAAGTTCTACTCCTTTTAAAGGACAGTGATATAATCTAGACTTTCTACAGCGCTTCAATAGAAGAATATAATGATCAGCCTACAATTAAAAATTGCTAGACACAAGGAGCAGAAACATGTGGCCATGATCAAGAACAGAAGCAGTTAATAAAAACAGATCCCAGGATGATAGAGGTGCTGAAATTAGCACACAAAGACTTTAAAGCAGTGTGTTAGTTTCCTACAGCTGCCATAACAAATTACTACAAATTTAGAAGCTTACAGTTCTGCAGGTCACAAGTCTGATATAGAGTCCCTATATCAGACTCTTGTAGATGCTCTTGTAGATTTTCACCCTACCTGAAATCAGGGTGTCAGTGAGACTGTGTTCCTTTCTGGAGGCTCTAGGGGAGGAGCATTTTCTTGTTTGAGTTGTTGGCAGAATTTGGTTCCTTACAGTAATAGGACTGAGATCCTCATTTCATTGTTGGTTCTCAGCTTAAGGCCATTTCTAGATTCTAGAGGCCACCCATGTTCCTTGGCTTGTGGCTCCCTTACTTCATCTTTAGAGCCAGCAATGGTGGGTTGAATCCTTCTCATTCTATGCATCTCTTTTTCTTCTTCTTCCATCTCAATCTCTGACGTGGCCAGGAAAGTCTCTCTGATTTTAAGGCTGTGTGTGATTAGATTGGGTCTACCTGGAGAATCTAGGGTACTCTCCCCATCTTAAGGTCCTTACCCTTAATGACATTTGCAAAGTCCCTTTGCCCTTTTGCCAGGCAAGGTAACATATTCCCAGGTTCTGGAAATTAGCGCGTAGGCAATAAATAACCTGAGGTTCCACCTTAAGATACTAGAAAAAGATTACAAATTAAACCAGAAATAAATAGAAACCTGGAATAGTACAAGAGCTAAAATCAATGTAGTAGAAAACATAAGGTAAGACAATAGGAAACAAAATAGACAAACGGTAGTAAACAAAATTAATGGAAATTTTATTCTTATCCTATGACCCAGCTATTTTACTCCTAGATATTACCAAAGAAAAATGAAAACCTTTGTCCACTCAAACTTATGTATGATTTGTTTTCTTATGATTTAAGAGTTCTTTATATATTCTACATATAAGTCCTTTATAGAATATATGATTTGCAAATATTTTCTCTCCATCTATGGCTTATATTTTCATTCTCTTAACAGTGTTTTTCAAAGAGCAGAAGTTTAAAATTTTGAAGTCCAGCTTATCAACTTGTTCTTTTATAGATTTTGCTTTTCGTGCCATCCAAGAAATCTTTACCTAACCCCAGTTCACATAGACTTTCCTCTTACGTTTTTGTTTCCCTAATTTTAAGTTTTACGTTATTCTGTCATCCATTTAACTCAGTTTTTTAATAAGACACCATTGTAAATGATGTTGGTATGTAGAAATATAATTGACTTTTGCATTATAGATCTTATATCCTGCAAACTTGCTAAACTCTGCTATGAGTTCTACCAGCTTTTGATGTAGATTTTGTTGGATATTCTCCATAGACAATCATGCCGTCTGCAAAGAGAGATAATTCTACTTCTTCCTTTCCTATCTGGATGCCTTTTATTTCTTTTTCTTGCCTTATTGCTAGAATCTGGCTAGAACCTTTAGTACAATGTTGAGGTGGTGAGAACAGCTATCCTTGCCTTTTCCCTGATCTCGGGAAAAGCATTCAGTCTTTGTCCATTAAGTAGGATGGTAGCTGCAGGTCTCTTGTAGATGCCCTTTATCAAGTTGGGTCAGTTCCCTTCTCTTCCTAGCTTGCTGCAAGTGTTTCTGTTTGTTTGTTTGCTTATAATCAGGTTTTTACTGATCAGTCTGGCAAGAAATTCACAAATTTCATTTTTTTAAAGTATTTTTATTGATTTTTCTCCGTTGTTTTTCTGTTTTCCATTTCATTGATTTCTGCTATAGCCTCTATTATTTACTTCCTTATGCTTACTTTGGGTTTAATTTGTTTTGTTTTGTTTTGTTAGTTTCTCAAAGAAGAAGCTGATATTTGGGACCTTTCTTCTTTCTTGCTATCGGCATTTAGTGCTATAAATTTCTTCCAAGTTATGTTTTAGCTGCACCCCACAGATTTTGATATGCACGTTTTTTTCATGTTATATTCTGTTCAAAATACTTCCTCCTTTTGAGTTCCCAATGACAAATTTTTTTAAAAAAAGCATCACTTTTGTCTTGATTTTTAGTTATCTTAGGCTGGAGGATAAATCCTGTGCCTGTGACTCCATCGTGTCTGGAACCTGAAGGCTCTGCTACTCTAATGATTTAATGATTAGATTAAATCATTAACGATATAATGATTTTCCTTGTCCTGGTTCTCTGCCCTCTGCTTTCAGGGAGAAAACCTCTTTATATGCTATCAGTGTAGCACTGTGGTTTTCACACCTCGCTTTTAATGTTCAATTGTCACTCTCAGCCTTACCTTGTCAACTGTGTTTAGTGGCAGCCACCCAATACAGCTGTCCTTAAAGTTACAGTTTCCCCCATATTTCCCTAATGCCTGATGTGTCACACTTACCAGTGTGTTCCCTTCCATTAATATCCCATTTGCTATAGATTGAATGTTTGTTTCCCACCAAAATTCATACGGTGAGATCTTAACACTCGAGGTGATGGTATTAGGAGGCGGGGCCTTTGGGAGATAATTAGGTCATGAGCACAGAACCCTCATATTGGGATTATTGCCCTTATGAAAGAGGCCCCAGAGATCTCGCTCATACCCTTCACCATGGGAGGTTACTATCAACGGGGAACAAATATTCAACATTCCATGTTAGCTAACGTCTGCTTTTGTGTACCACTTCTGGTATCCACCCTTCCAGGTTGGGTTCCCCAGGAGGCAGACTTTTAGATGGAGGCTAGTGTGCAGGAGGTTTATTAGGGAGTGTCATTGGAGTGGGTAGGGAAAAAAGCAAGAGAGGGAAGTAGGGCTGGGATGCATCTTAACAAAGGCCTTAGCCAACCAACCTGGAAATCGGAAGGAGCTCTGAACTTGGAACGGACCTCTGCGTTTTCCCAAGTTGGGGTGAGAGGGTTGGGCCCTTTTAGCCCCACATCAGTCGATCACTGGATATGGACTTTCCTGGGAAGGGGCGTGACCTTGGTTGAGATGTTTCTTCAGCTGGGGTGACTTCACGGTGGGCAGCTGAGGGCTGCCTTCTGGCAGAACTCCCAGCAGCAGGAAGTAATCCTTCAGGCCTGAAGGGGGGAACTGGGCACAGTAGCACCTACCATAGCCTGTGGTGCCCTTTCCTCTTTTGTTTATCTGGCAAATATCTACTCACATTTCAAGATCCAGCCCGGACTTCTTCTCCACGATGCTTCGCTTGACCTTCTTCTTGTCACTCAGTAGCATGGATCACTCCCTCCTTTGTACTCACTGTACTTTCTGTATTCTTCTGTACTTGCCCCGTACACCCTGTCTGTGTTTGTAACAGCACACTCTGCGTGAGTGCCTCTAACAGTGTCATGGGATCAGGGTGTAGAGTATGGCCACCAACACTCATGATAACCATGAGTCAGTAAGAAAAGGCAGGGCGAATGAGTAATCCTGTTGCTTAAAATGCCCATGGAAAACAATAAAAGGAAAAAGTTCAGATGCTACAGGGTGAAATCTTCACCTATTTGTAACCCCTTCATTTATGTTAAATCTGTTTCGTATATGTATCCACTAGATCTTTCAAGATGTTTACAAATTCTGCAGAATCTGCCCGAAACATACATTACTGATTTTATTCTAATCCAGCAAGAAAGAGAGGGTTGTTTACAAAACATGATATAAAACCTGAAGGGTGAACACTAAATTGTTGGCTTTGGGAGTTTCTAGAACCTCGTTCAATACACTGAAATCTCTTTCATAGTAAACACAACATGACAACCTCTAGTATTCCAGAAAATTCTCCTCTTGCCCTTTTCCCCCCCTACCCTGCAAAGTCATTTTATTGAAACTCCCTCAAGTTATTGAGAACCCAGCCATATTAAGGAATTGAAAAGAAGCCTAGGGTAGCTCATCAGTTTTGGTTAAAACTTTGGAATCCACAAGAGAATTCTTTTAGGGAGATAAGTATGAATCTGTGATTCTAATTGTTAGTACCGTTCATCAACCACCTCATTCACATATTGGTTATGACCTTGTATAGGTGAGACACTTCTCAGAGTCCATCTGAATCCTGTATTTTGCTGTTTGAATTTTTCCAAAATAAGGAAGTGAAAGTATATTTCATATAGTAAGTACCTTGGCATGTTCTTCTATACCATGTGATAGGCGCTGTAATACCATCTGTCTTGAAATAGTCTTATGATGACATATTAATGCTTCCAAAGCCTTTTTAAGTCCCTAGAGTGCTGTCTTGTAAATGCAGTGCTGTATTATTTAGAGTAGGACTTTCTAAAGGCGAACAGTGCTCCTTGGAGTTAAAGAATGTTTGGTCTAAGTTGCATAGTACATAAAACAACAAAATGTTTTCCCATTTCAAAGTCTGAAACACTATAATCTCCATACACCATGTAGGTATTCTGACACATTTCTTCTTGGGGACCCTGGTTTTTGCACAGATGTTTGCCATCACAGGTGAGGCAGTATTGTGTAACAGCAGTTTCCTGAGTTACACAATATGTAACTATGAAAACAATGTGCCACACAGCAGTTTGCTTAATATAGAAGAGTTCAGAAAAGGGCTGCTGGGAAATTCCAGACCTTCACAGTTCTACCTTCCTCCGTGATTCTCTTGATTTTCATTTAATCTATCCTCCTTGTGCGTAACTGTTGCTGTTGGGCAGACTTCCCTGTTGTGCTGAGTGAATCTGAGCCCCTTCTCTCCCACGTGTGTGTGTGTGTGTGTGTGTGTGTGTGTGCGCGCGTAAATTTGTTATTTATGCCAACTCCCCCACCTTTCCCCACCCCTTTCCACTAATAGTGATTTTTATCATCTTAATTCTCATGATTAGGAGATATGGATCAACACAATTCCTTCCTAATATCTACATGCCTCTGCGTTTCCCTTATCTTTCTTCCAAAGAACTGTCACTGCAAGTAGCCCCATCTCCTACCACCGGAAGTAGCAGAGGGTTCAGCTAACTGCACACAAATGATGGAGTTCGTACATGTTTTCACATTGTTCAAAAAAGGCAAACTTCACTTTTAAGGATGTGGCACAGAAGTGGGGCAGCTGAAGGTGCTGTGAAGAACTTTGTCTCCGCTAGAGAAGCTTGTGCATTTAGGAAGCTTGAGAAATTTTGAGAGGCTCTTATTTCCTCACTTTTGGGGCAGTGGAGCATAGTGGTTCAGGGCACGTGGTCAGGTGCCGGATTCCTACACTTAAAACCTCGCTCTAGCACTTACTAGCGCGACCTTGGGCAAGTTATTTAAACTATCTGTGCCTCAATTCCTCATTTGGAAAAGATAAATAGTCGTTGTACATACTCACATGTTAATACATGCATAGCATTTAGGACAGTGCTTGGCACCTTGTAAATGGCAGTAAATGAATCTTTACTATCTTGTAGGATGGATGTGTGACATTTCCACATTCCACCTAAAATGTGAGGGTTCAGACGGATTAATAATTTTTAATAGCACTGGAAAATACAAGTTTTCTCCATTGTCATTCCCTCCTTGATTTTAGTACATATTACAAAGAGGGTGCGTGTCCTGTTCTTGGCCCTCACTGTGGACCAGATGTTGTCTCCAGTACCTTGGTGCTACCATCATCTTATGGTCCTGGCCTGTGACATCAGACCAGCCCACTGCTACTCATCCCTCTTGTCAGGGGGGTGGGGACTCTCGCAACCCCTCCTCCTGCGAGCAGCTTCTTTCATGCCTCCTGGAAACGGACCAAGTGCTTTATAAGATTGCAGTGCAAAATCTGGGGTGTTCCTCTCCTGTCTCTTCCACTCGAGTTAAATAAATACCAGTTGAATGAATGAATGAGTGAGTGAACCTTTCCTTATTGAATGGCTGTGGCTGTTGAATGAAGATGCTTTCATATTTCTGCCCTCTGTCAGCCCGACCGAACCTCTCCGGAGCAGGTTTCTCTGTCTTGGATTACTTAGTGGGTCTCATCCAGTTCGACATGATACCACCTCAAGATTCCACGTTCTCGGGGTCATTACCTATCAACTTGGTCTCCATCCATACAACGAAATGTGTGTAGATCCCAGTGTAAGAAAGACAAAATGTATCATCACATCTTTCTTCTGAGTCACCCTGGAATCACAAAAACTCCCAGCAGGAGGAAGCACTCCTCTGATCTCTGTTCCTTTGAGAATGCCTTGGGCCTGGAGAATTCACATCTAACTGCAAGGAAAAACCAATGCATTAATAACTTAATATTAATGGGGATGGAGATATAATATGTAACAAATTTTCTTTCAGTCACGGAAGATCTTATTAGACGGAATGCCGAGCACAACGACTGTATAATTTTTTCCCTGGAGGAGCTCTCCTTGCATCAGCAAGAAATAGAAAGACTAGAACATATTGACAGGTGGTGCCGGGATTTAAAAATCCTCTATCTTCAAAATAATCTCATTGGAAAAATTGGTAAGTCTTCAGGACTTTGTTCTTATGGTTTCTTTAACATTTTGAATGGGAGAATGTTGGCAAATGCAGTGTTATTCTTAGAGGAAGAAAAAGAATGACATGGAGGAATAGACACAGCCATCTCTTAGTAGCTGTGTATGGAACCCTTCCCTGAACCTTTTCGTGCCTGTTCCATCTCCTGGCCCTGGGCATCTACATCAAGGAATTGGGAGGACCAGTTGATGGCTGGGAGCACATTAGTTGACGTAGTCATTTAAAACCTGATTTTTAAAAAGTTTAAAAGAGAGGCGGATATAATCCAGGAGTCTGTCATGGCTTTACAGCATCACTCTGTGAACCTGAAAGGATTCTGTGAGAGCTGAGTAAATCCTTGTCAGATCCCAGCCTGTGATAACTAGGTCTGCCATACGTATTGAGAATGTACATGTGCAAGGCATTGTGCTCAGTATTGGATATCGAGGGGGCTCCACAATTACACCCCTGCTTACTGCTCCAGTTTGGAATGAAATGAGAGGTAAAAACAGGAGTCAGGAGGATGGAGATCCAAAAATCAGCATTATAACTGATAAAAACTCTTTGGAGAATGTGGCTTAGACTTGCAGCCAAGTGAGATTCCTAATATGCCCCCAGAATTAAGCCTACCCACCACCCACTTACATGCAGAACTGGACAATGCAGGCTCCCCCTACCCACGCAGGCCCCCTGCTTTATGGCGGGAGCGGGTCGAGACTGTGTGCCCTCTGCCGGCGGGGAGATCCCAGACCCAGGAGAGAGGGTGGGATTGGGCATGCCCAGTTCCTTCTCCCAGTTCACCCATGAGGTAAGTGGGTCCTCCCCATCCAATTGCCACCTCCTCCCCCGGGAAGAATGAGTTAAGGGGACAGAGAGAAGAGAGGCCTGTGGAGACACTCTAACAGGGGATCCTGCCACATGGAAGCAGGAGGAGTGACCCCCAAACCTCAGAAAAGCTACAGTGTAGTTTAGTGGTAAGAGCAGGTGCAGGCCCTAATGTCAGGTAGACCCAGGTCTGAACCCTGCCTCTGCAAAAAACTAAGTCAGTCAACTTAGTCCCTCTGTGCCTTAGTCTTGCCATCTGTAAAATGGGAACAACAACATCTAACACACAGACATGATATTAGAGCTACATGGAACGACGTGCTTAGCTTTATGCCCGCTCATGAGAAAATAGCTGCTCTGCTATTAATATCGTCCCTTGCCCAGGGGCCCCAGGCCAGCCCCGTGGAGGTAGAAGCAGAGGGGAGAACCACACAGAGTTGGCGGAAAAGGGATGGAGTCAGGGTTGATGAGGCAGAGTGAGTGCCAGCCCCTGTGGGTTCTGACACTACAGCCCAGAGGCCGGCTCGTAAGATTAACTCTCCACCGTCATAAGCGGCGTTTCTCAACAGGGCCACTTGGCAATGTCTAGAGACATACCTGGTTGTTGCTGTGTGTATGTGTGTGTGTGTGTGTGTGTGTGTGTGTAAGGGGTCAGCTACTGGCAGTTAGTGTGCAGAGGCCAGGGACATGCTAACAGTCCCAGGACCTCTCCCCCGCCCCCTCCAAGAAAGAATTACCTGGCCCCGAATGATAGTATTGCTGAGGCTGAGAAACTCTGCTGATGTAGTTGCCTCCAGCTTAGTGGGTAATTGAAAATTGGCTCTAGGGATACAAAAAGTCTGGAATTTGCATCATTTTTCAAGGTTTATTAAAATTCTTTCTTTTCCTTCAGATAATTATTTTTGGCATCTTGTACTTTACCAGAAATTAGAAACTCTGGCGCATTGTTCAATTAAAAAGGCTGTTATAGAAAACCACTAGCTTTTATGCATGAGAGCATTAAAGAGTTGTCCTAATTGTGCAGCTCCAAAAGAGTGCCCGAAATTTTCATCTCCACAGCTGGGTCCATCACAATTACTAATTAGTAGCATAGTATTTCAGTCCTTTTCAGAGCTGTGAGAAAGCTTAAATTTTTGCTTCCAAAGTATTCTTAAATTAAACACTCTTTTAAATCCTAATAATGGGATTTTTCAGTGCTACTCCACCCATAGGCATTTAGGCACTTTTTTAGCAAGTAAAACTGTTTCTCTAGGATTCAGACTCACTCTTGGGCCACGGAGGTAGAAGTTTGCAAAACACCTGCCTTTCCTGAAGCTGTGTTCCTCACTGGGAGATCCAGGTGGGCTGTGGAGCCAGGCTTTGTTTAGTGGGGCTCCAGGTGTCAGCTGAGGACTGTCCGGGGTCTGTGAAAATGGGGCTCGGGCCTCACCCCAGACTTACTGGTTCAGAGCCTCAGGGGGTGGGCTTCCGGAATCTGCATTGGTAACAGCTTCCCGATGAGCCCCAAGCTGAACGCCTCAGAGCGGCTTGAACTGGGGGATGGGTTTGGTCCAGTACAAGTTTGTAGATCTGGTTATAGAAGTTGGTGAGAACTCCTCCCAGGCTGGTTTGGCCGAGAACGCAGACTCCCTTCCTGCTGCCCAAGAAGCTCTGCATATTTTTACTTATAGAGCTTTGTTTTTTCCTGACCAGTTTGACCCATTGTTCTCGATTTAATTTAATTTAATTTAGGAAACCCTTACAAAACAAATCTTAACTTTTTTTCTACCAGATGACTCTTTTCGCACTTACAGCGTTATACATAAAACGAAAGTGGAGAAGGAAAGGTATTTTATCGTGGGCTGGCAATTTTAACAATAATAACTTTATGTATTTTTGTTCAGGATATGTACTAGACACTGTATTATAATCTTGGGCACATGGAGCTCTACAAGTCTATGACTGTCAAATGCTCAGGTATTGCCTAGAGGAACTCTTGTAAACATCAGTATTACTTAGAAAAATATAATTGCTGAGAGAAACTTTAGTAATTTATTCCACAATCCTCATTTAAAAAATGAGTAAACTGAGGCTCGGAGAGGTAAACTGTTATTCTCAGGAATTCTATGGAAAGAAATACATGATATTTTATAAATTTTAGGTGAAATATTAGTAGTGATAAGGGTGACGGTTATAAATCATCATGTTTGACCGTCATAATATCCCGAAAAATGGTCCAGAGGAAGCATTATTTAAGTCAGCCTGCCCCAAATGCACATTTCTTAGCAGGGTTTTCTACATTCATGTCATCTTAGAAAGGACTCTTCTTTTAAAGTGTAGTGTAGTGATTTAGTGCCAAGCTCTGGAGTAAGATTTCCTGGCTCTACCACTTAACCTTGAACAAGTGGATTTATTCTCTGCACCTTGGTATTCTCATTTGCATAAGGGAGACGACAATAGTTTTAACTTCATAGGATTGTTATGAAGATTAAATGAGATAATACACAAAATGCTTAGAAAATTGTATGGCATGTAATAAGCACTCAGTAATGTAAGCTATGGTATTATTTACTGTTTTTAAAGGGCCCCACCCTTCAGCGATTCCTTGACTTATTTATGCTTTTGCCTTGCCTATATGGCCTTTACATATTTATTAGAAACAATAATCCTGTATCAGGATGATTTTGGCTTCACGTAAAGGAAAACACAACTCAGGATGGGTTAGCAGTGAGGAAATCTAGCATCTAACCCAACTATACGTCTAGAGATAGGCCAGTCTCCAGGGTTGGTTGATTCCTTCTCTATGCTCCACCAGTCACAGTGGAACCATCCTACAGCTGGTTCCCTCAGGTTTGCAAGATGACTATGAGTACCAGTAAAGATAGTATTTCCTTCCTTTTTAACATCCAGTAGGAGAAAGAGACAGGAAATCCGCAAGCATGAAATACAGATCATTCCTCCTCATCTGATTGGGAGTACTTGGTGTGCACGCCTTCTGCTGCATCATACAATTGCCAGGAGACTGCCACAGGCTGGTTGACTTAAGCCTGGGCTCCTGAGCTGTCACTAGCCAGGGACATGGGATTGCCGTGTGCTGGGCCAGCTTGGTTAAGCCTAACCCCCCTGGAGTTGGAGCTGGGTAGAGACATGAGCAGACATGGGTTGGTTCCATTAGGAAGGACAGAGGGAGAAATGGATGCTGCGTGGGCAACCAACAATGTCTGAAGTACAACCCCTAATCTGCCTACTTTCTGAGGTACAGATTTGAAAAAGCAACATGGTTTTGACAACCATAATAATCCTTAGATTCTCGTTACCGTTTTCATAAGATTACATAAAAATGTCTTTTATCTTGAAGGTTAATTAATTCCATTCTTTGTATATTTCAGAAAATGTTAGCAAACTCAAGAAACTTGAATATTTGAATTTAGCTTTAAACAACATTGAAAAAATTGAAAATTTGGAAGGTAAGGGTTTTCTTCTTATAATTTATTGTTAATTAAACTTAGACTTCAACAGTATTGCTTAAACAATAGGTAGACTTTTCAAATTAACATTTTACATAAGTCTTAGTTTGTCAATTCTTGTTGTAAAAAGTCAAACGATAACAAGATACACAAATTCAAAAATGTAAGTCTACTTCACCCCTTCCTAACCCAGTTTCCTTCCCAGAGGCAGTGGTATTAACGCTTTGGTGTATAGAAGGTAGTTTTGTTACATTTTGCTTTGTATCAATGGGATCATACTATGAATATTGTTTTCAAAATGAATTTCTTCCATAAAATTACCTTGTTCTTCTGATCCAGGAAGGATGGGGAAGGCTGTCTAATGGAATGATTGTAGACTGAGTTATCCACCTGTTGTTCTGCAGATGGACAATTGGGTGGTTTCTACATTTTGCTATGATAAGCATGGCTGCAATGAGCATCCTAATACGTTTCACTCTGTGTACATGTGTAAATATTTTTCTAGAATAGATACTTAGCAATGGAATTCCTGGGTTTAAATACTCATATTTTGGAAAATATTGCCAATTTGTTCTCCGAAAAGGTTGTATTGATATATACTTGTACCTATGGTCCACGTGAATACCCATTTTCCCCCAACTTCACTAGCGCTTTTTATAAGCAATCTTTTTCTAAAGATTAGAAGACATTGTTCTCTAGTAATTTTTAAAATTTGCTCCTCACTTACTATTACTGATCTTCCATATAACCTTTCAGATGTTTATTGAATATTTTTTTCTTACATGAATAACTACTTCATATCTTTTGGCCATTTTTCTACTTATTTTTCTTCATGTGCTCTTGTGCATTCCAGATATTAATACCTTGTTATACATGTTATAAATCTTTTCTCTTGAGTGTACTACTTTTATTTCAGTCATGATGCTGGTATTGTTCAGAAGTCTTACTTCTGAAATGAATATACTCCAATTTATCAGTCTTTTTCTTTATGGATTCTTTATGGTTTCTGGATACAAATATAGTCCATATAAGTTCTAATTTTAATAATTTTATTCTTTACATTTAATCTCTCTAATGTGCTTCAAATTTAACATGTAAATGTTCCTGAATGGAAATATTTGGACAATTTAGTATTTTGAAAATTGAAATATAATTTACATATTATAAACTTACATACACCATTTTAAAATACACGATTCACAGGTTTTTAGTATATTTGCAAGGTTGTGCATCCATCATCACTATTTAATTCCAGAACATTTTCATCACCTTAAAAGAAACCCCCATATCCATTAGCATTCATTCCCCATGCACCTCCTACCCTAGCCCCTAACAACCCCTAATCTACTTTCTGTCTCCATAGATTTTCCCATTCTGAACATGTAATATAGATGGAATCAAACAATACATGGTCGTCTGTTCTGACTTTTTTTTTTTTTTTTTTTTTTTGCGGTACGCGGGCCTCTCACTGTTGTGGCCTCTCCCGTTGCGGAGCACAGGCTCCAGACGCGCAGGCGCAGCGGCCATGGCTCACGGGCCCAGCCGCTCCGCGGCATGTGGGATCCTCCCGGACCGGGGCACGAACCCGTGTCCCCTGCATCGGCAGGCGGACTCTCAACCACTGCGCCACCAGGGAAGCCCCTGTTCTAACTTCTTAGTCTAATGTGTTCAGGGTTCATCCATGTTGTAGGATGCATCAGTACTTAATCCTTTTTAGGGCTGAATAATATTCCATCGTATGGATACACCTCATTTTGTTTATTCATTTATTAGTTGATGGGTATTTGAGTTGAGTCCACTTTTTGGTTACTATGAATAAAGCTGCTGTGAACATTAATGTACAAGTTTTTGCATAAACATCTGTTTTCAGTTAACTTAGTGCACCTAGGTATGGAACTGATGGGTCCTGTGATAACTGGAATTGACGGGTCCTGTGATAACTGTACGTCTCACTGTTTTCAGGAACTGCTTTGGCAGCGGCACCAGCTTGCATTCCCACCAGCCGTTTACGAGGGCTCCCGTTTCTCCACATCCTTGCCAGCACTTGTCATTTTCAGTTTTCATGTAGTTATTTATCTTTATAGTAGCCATCCTATAGTGAGTGTGAAGTGGTATATCATTGTGGTCCTGATTTGCATTCACCTAATGACTAATAAGTTTGGGCATTTTTTTATGTGCTTATTGGCCATTTGTATGTCTTCTTTGGAGAAATCTTCTTTATTCAAAATCTTTGCCCATTTTCTAACTAGGTTATTTGTTGTTTGACTGCTGAACTGTAAGACTTATTTCTTTATTTTGAACGCTAGAATCCGATCAGATAAATGATTTGTAGATATATTCTCCCATTTTGTGGGTTTTCTTGTCAGCTTCCTTGTTGGTGTCCTTTAGAGCACAATTTTTTCTTAAACAACTTTATTGAGGTATAATTGATGTACAAAAGCCTGCACATATTGAATATATATAATTTGTTGAGTTTGGACATATGCACACACATGTGAAACCATCACCGCGATTAAAACCTCTTTGTCTTGTTATTCTGGGAGGTTTCCTATTTTACTTTGCAGGCTTCTATTCTGTGCTGTTATTTTTTTTCGAAATGTCTAATAACACTTGGTGTCTGTTGATAACCACAAAGAATTTGGTTGACTAGGTGGCTGTGTGGGCTTATTCTGCAGTTGTGAGGTGGTATTTCCATATCCAGCCTCTGGCCTGGCTGGCAGGGCCACTGTGGGCTCTGTGTGGGTGGGCAGGGGCTTGGGGCAGAGGCAGGCAAGCTCCTCTCCCCACCCCACTCCCATCTTCCAAAAGCTAAAATTAGGAGGACATTATTTAAGTCCTGTTGGATTTTAGCCTATTTGTGTCTCCTAGTGTAGACATCGGTATTTCAGGGGCCATCAAGGTCATGTATCAATAAAGACATAAATATTCATCATACATTTTTAATGTTCATCCTCAAAACCTGAAATGTCATCACTGTCAAAGCCCCCAAACCGTCATCAGTGCTGGAACTGAGACGGTTCTTTCCATTATTGGCATTTTTCTGCATTAGAAATGGAGCCTTTGCTCTTTCCCAGCTACCACTCTCCAACCCTGTTACCATATCCACATGTGAACAAATGAAATAACAAAATTTGCACTACCGCTTCCCTGGTGGCACAGTGGTTAAGAATCCGCCCGCCAATGCCGGGGACACGGGTTCGAGCCCTGGTCTGGGAAGATCCCAGATGCTGTGGAGCAACTAAGCCCGTGCACCACAACTACTGAGCCTGTGCTCTGGAGCCCGCGAGCCACAACTACTGAGCCCACATGCCACAACTACTGAAGCCCACGCGCCTAGAGCCCATGCTCGGCAACAAGAGAAGCCACTGCAAAGAGAAGCCTGCGCACCACAGGGAAGACCCAACGCAGCCAAAAATAAATAAATTAAAAAAGAAAACTTAAAAAAAATTGCTCTATATCTATGTTTTTTAGTAGTGAAATGTCTATCTATAATGTCAGAGAAATAATTAAAACTCTCATTCTCAGTTGGCTTGTTATTTTCATTAAGAAAGTAGTATCTGAAAGGATGTGGAGAGTTCTGTTTTTGCGGTATGTGTCGGCCACCAACCACTAGAGGGCAGTATTGTCACTATCGTCTTTTTGAGCTTTGAGAACTTGGTCCACAGTGGACACTTCTTCCTTTTGGTCCTCTGCCTTCCAGCTCTAATACGGATGCACCGGGCTCAGGGTCGTCTGAGGATATGTTTGGGGAGATGGGCAGTAGGGAGGGATGGGTGTCTTATCTTTTGGCAAATATGCACTTGTTGTTTAATTTTAAATGTTTGAGGAAGAGAGGAGGAAGTTGGATATATATATATACTCAGCTCACATACTTGAGTAAATCTCAGTATAATTTAAAACGTAAGTTGGATTTTTCTTTGTTTGTTTTGCTGCATGGCAAAACATAACTGTATCCTTCTTTTTCTTTTTTCCTTGTTGTGAATTCACCAAGATTTTTTTCCATCCCACCCCTCCTCTCCCACCCTTAAAACCTGGAAGGAGAGATGGGGTTTCTATTAGTGTCAACTCTCCCTCTTGGGAAATCAGCATGTTGGTTTCAGTGGCCTTTAGACCCCCATGGGCCACTGAGCTCGAGCTTCACAGAACAGGGGCTGAAGGGTGGGACTCAGTTGAAGGAGGGAGGTTTTCTCAAGCCTGTCTAGTTCAGCAAGAATAGTTCTTTCAAATGGCAGATGTGGTTTAATTTCTTATGTGTAGGCCTAGTAGAAGAAAAATTAAGATTCATCACTTTGAAAAATGTAATGAACATTTGGAGGGTTCTGCATCTACAAAATTACAGCAAAATCCAAAAATTATATGAATTTTTGAGCTTGTTGGAGTCTTTCAAATGTCAGTCTTTTCTCATATGGAAGAAAAACATAATTAAAATATCTCTCAGAGTCTCCCAAAGTCAACTTAAGAAATACCAGGTAACCTGTATCTTAAGTCAGACTACCCCAAATATATCTTTACACTTCATAAAATCCATCTAACATTTTTTTTTGGCCAATGTAAAACAGACATACAGGCACAGAGATATAAACTTAATTATATTTATATGTCTAGTTTCATATTCATTCTTCATATAGTGGCTTAGTTCATTCACATCACTATGCTTTAATGACTGAATTATCAAATATGTTGATGTGCTTTAAATAACTCCTTATTGTTTGGTGCTTGAAGCGTTTTTAATTATGTTTGCTCTTGTGAATAGAACTGTTCTGAACAGCTTTGTACAAATTACCTGTTTCCAGTTGAGGTATTTGATTGGGACCTTTAACTCCCCAATGAAATTCTGGGTCAAGAGAAAAAAAAAAAAAACACTTAAGAGCCTATTTTGTTTATTGACAAATTGAATGCTGAAAAAATATATATATATATTTTTTAATCTCATAACCTTTCCAACATATTTAAAATTTATTTTTGAAGATATGAAGTTACTGAATTTCCTTCACCTGTGTAGCTGAGTCTGGAATATTATAAAAGTATTTATTTGTTCTTGTGCATTTTGGTTATTTGGCTTTTCAGTAATTCATATTTTACCATAGTAACGCAATGGACAGTCTCAAAAGTCAAAGTGATATCTATACTCGTGTTGAAGAACAGACCTCTTGTCAATGCCGCCAGACCCCCCAGTCCTGCCCCCTAGAGGCGACCGCCATCCACTCCCCTTCCTTCTTCTGCTGCATGTTTCCAAGTAACCTGCTTACACCGGGCGTCCTCTACTCTTTCTCATATTAGGCATCGTCTATTGACCTCCTACGTGGCAAGTGCAGATTTTGTTCTCACTCGCTGCCCCCGAGGTTCTTCATCCCTGTCTATCCGCCTTGCTTATGTTTTCGTGTCACGTAACGGGATATCATAATGAGACACGGGATATGGGCCCATCTATGGTGACTGGTGTTTTGAATGAACACTTTGTTGGGGGGAGTGGTCACGCTCACGTGCCTACTGACCCACGTCTAACCTCTGGCCTTTCTTGCTCCCCCTTTCTCCTCCCACCAGAGGATGGCTGGTCTGGCTCTCTCCATCCATGTAGGAATTGCAGGCCTCAGCTCACCCCTCACAAGGGTATGACTGCAACCACTTGTGCTTAGAGACCCAACACTGTGTCCCACAGAGCTTTAGCTTGAGAGTTTTGCGGTGATGGTCATGGTCATGGTCATGATGATACGTTAGTAATAAACAGCTGACGTCGGCAAAGAGAACTTCTAGTGGACAGGTTCAGAGAGGCTTTTCAGCTGGGCAGACCTGGGATTCGGTTCCCGTCCCCACTTTGTAGCTTTGTTGAACTTTGTTCATTTCTTAGCTTATTTGCCTCACAGTTCCAGTTATCTATTGCAGTGGAAAAAAAACAACACCCCAGGACTCAGTGCCTTGAAACAGCTTTCTTTCGCCACCCAGTTCTGTGGGTGAGGAACTCAGCAAGAGTTTGGCTGGGACGTTCCTCTCTGACCCAGGGCATTAGGCTTCTTTACTGTCTTTTCAGCCAGCTTGAGCTCTGACACCCCCTCCGCGCAACCCGTCCATGGCTCACGCTCCTTGCCCTGCTTGATCTCCGTGCCCAACCCTAGGTGGGCCCCTCCGCGGGCGCCTTCTTCTCCTGGCTTACGCTCCCAATCCCCACGCTAGCCCTCGTTAGGGTATCCACCTCGCCCTCCTCGAGCTCTGACACCTTGCTCATGGCGCTGCTCCCCTGCGGACCCCTCTTCACTCTACTTGGTGTCCAATGCCTCTTGCTGGGTGTCATGTGAGGACACCCTCCCTACCTTCCTTGGGCTCTGATTCCTCAAGTCAGGCTGCCCTTCCTTGTTGGTACCCATCCTGTCTGCACTGACACCCCATGGCTGGCTGTCTTTGGTGTGGATGCTCTTTTCATCCTGCCCAGGTTCCTACCCACCATCCCTCTCTGCAGGGATGCCTTCCTCACTGGGCTTGGGCTCCTGCCCTCGTGCCAGACCACCTGCACCCGGGATGCCCCTCACTGCTGGGGCCCCGGCTTCCAGCACAGGGCAGCCCTCTGCACACTGTCCTCATCCTGTGTGGGCTCCACCACTCTGCTCTGGACCAACGTAGCTATCGCTCGCCTCTCTACTCCTTCTTTACTTTGCGTCCCCTGATGGCTTTAGGAATTAGTTGTTCTGAAAGGAAGGGAAGGGAAGGAAAGGGAAGGGAAAGGAAAGAGCGGGGAAGAGGAGCAGCCACCTTGACAAACCTTTTCTTTCTCTCTCTCTTCCTTTTGTCCGTCTTTCTTTCCTTCCTTCCTTCTTTCCTTCTTTCCTATGTTCTCAAAATAGGGAGACGAGTTAGGAGATACACCATATTGCATGCAAAAGGTGACAGGAACCTGAACTGGAATACTGGTAATAGGATTATAGTGGACAAGAAGTATGTAAAAAGAAGTTAGGACTTAAGATCTGCATGGCTTGATGACTGATGACATGAAGGGACTAAGAGGATAGTTTAGGTTAACTTCCTAGTTAACCCTGACTTGACTCTTGGTGTTGAATCACATCTGATACCAAAATGGTGATGACGTCGATAGAGTTTAGATGTAAAGAAGGCAGAAAAGCTGTCTTGAGGAGTACAGAGTGAGAGAAAATATGGAGACTTCAGTTTGGACATGTTGAATGTGATATGTCTTGCGGGCATGTAGAAACAGGAGTGTGATGTTCAGTTGGGTGGTCAGACATGGGGTTATTGTTTGGGAGTCATCAGAATCTGGGGTTAGTGAAACCAGTGGGCATGACTACTGTTATCAAGACCATAAGGAAAGGAAATATTGGGTCAAGGATGGAAATCTCCATCACATTGATGGGGTGGAAAAGCCTGCAAAAGAGATCAAGAGGAATAGACTTCATTGAAAAGGAGGACAAGGAAAGAGTAGCATCAGAGTTTCAAGACAGTTGAGAGATTTAAGAGACAGTCCATGGTCGATTGTGCCACATGCAGCAGACTCTTCTAGTGACATGGTGCATTGAAGAGGCTCCATTAGATTTGTCAACATGATGCAGTCACGCCAGATAGTGACCAAATCTAAATGTGAACAGCCCAGAGCTTGTGGATACGGGCAGGAAAATGATTTCCTTTGGCTAGAGGGACTAAGGGGTTGAAAGTAAGGGGAGGACTTCCCTGGTGGCGCAGTGGTTTAGAGTCCGCCTGCCGATGCAGGGGACGTGGGTTCGTGCCCCGGTCCGGGAGGATCCCACATGCTGCGGAGCGGCTGGGCCCGTGAGCCATGGCCACTGAGCCTGCACGTCCGGAGCTTGTGATCCGCAATGGGAGAGGCCAAAACAGTAAGAGACCCGTGTACCGCAAAAATAAATAAATAAATAAATAAAAAAGAAAGAAAGTAAGGGGAGACATAGATAGAAAAGTAAGTCAAGACTAAGCCTTTTTGAGGTTTCTGAAAAACCACTTCTTGGTAAGCAGTGCAGTTAATCAACAGACTTAAAATATTGCAACTGTTATTTCTATGATGTGTTATTGTACACATTTTACTGCCTGTGTGATTTTTCTGGCTTTTTTTTCTTTTCATTTCTCTCAGCAGGATGCGAAGGGCTGACAAAGCTTGACTTGACGGTAAATTTCATTGGTGAGCTGAGCAGTGTGAAAACCCTTCAACACAACATCCACCTGAAGGAGCTCTTCCTCATGGGAAACCCCTGCGCTGACTTTGACGGCTACAGACAGTTCGTGGTGGCAGCTCTGCAGCAACTAAAGGTATGCTTTTTTTTCAGTGATACAAAGTTCTCAGAAAAATGAAAACAAGCAACTACAGTGATTCCTGATTTATTCACAGCATTTTCAGAGAATGTGTTGTTTTAGAGGATGGAATATTCCAGAAAATCAAAACCGAGTCTTTGGCTCACTGAACCTTTGAAGTTGTTTTAATATTATAGCTTTAATAAACCTTTGAAAAATAAATTGCATGCTTTTCTCCTTTCTCATTCAGAACACACACAGTTTAATTGAACTTTCTTGGTGAGTTCAAGTCATTGTTACAAAGAGCGTTCCTTATTACTAGTAGCAAACCAAAAGTTTAGGGCTTTTGAGGTGGCGACAGCTATGTACCTTTGTATTTCACAGTCTTAAACTACTGTGCTTTTTAAAGTATTATTTCTTACTATTGCTTTCTATTAACTCATTCGCTATGTTAGTAATTCTCAAACTCTGGTATGCTTTGGAGTACTTAGATGGGGTTCGCTGGGCCCCTCCCCCAGAGTTTCTGATTCAGTAGGTCTGATGGGCGCCCAAGAATTTGTATTTCTAACAGGCTTTCAGGTGATGCTGATGCTACCGGTCCAGGGACCTCATTTGAGAACCACTGCTCTGTGTGTTAATTTCTTACGCCAAATCTCCCCACATTCGATACTTTTGGTACTGGGAAACAACACATGGTTTCTAGAGAAATCATACACCTGAGAATATTTAAGTAGTAATATTAAAGTCCATGTAATTCCAAGAGTTCCTGACCTGCATGTGTTGGTTTGAAACCTCGAGAGCTTCCCAGGTGAAATCTGAAACTGGCCCCCATGCACGGAGGGCAAGGAGAGACCAAAGAAAGAGTCAGGACTCCAGATGCGTAGGTGGCAGGTTTAATAAGCAAGGAAACCTACTTACCAAGCTTGTTTTGGGCAACAGGATGAGTAGATCTCTGCGCCTGCCTGCCATAATCTTACAGGTTTATAGAGAGGCCTTAACTGGGTTCAGTCACGTACACCGTCCAGAGGGTCTCAACAGAGCTTTACTGTCTCAAGGCTGCACCCTTGGAACCGCTCCTAGTGTGGGAGCAGCGGGCAGAAGGTACATTCCAAGGACAGGGGAGGGGGTAAGGAGCCTGTGATTGGCCAGGTCCAGTCGCAGGCCATCCAGCGGTCACGTCCTCTTGGTGTCCCTCCAGCAGCAGGGACAGCATTTTGCTTCTGCAGAGAGAATGCATGGAGGCCCTGGCTTTCTAACAGTCCTTTTCCTCTATCCTCAGAGGACATTTGTTTTTAGACTGCTGTGTTCTGTGTAGTCAAAATTGCTGGATTGATAGAACACATTTCTTCTAATGTAAAGTTTCTTTGATTAAGAGAAGGAGTGATTCAGGTAATTGAATCTAGAATATATATGTAGAATGAATGATGAGGTAGATCAAACATAACCCAGGCTGATCATCATTGTACAATGACTTCCTAAAAAAATGAACTGATGAGAACCAGAATTTCAGAGAAAATGGATGCTGTGAACCATCTCCCTGGAAGGGTGCAGGGACTGTCATCACAGCTGGGCCCCCTGTCAACTCTGCAGTGCCTAGGCTAGGGGTATGTGAGAGCCATCAGACAGGTGCCTGAAGCATGGGCCAGGGTTGTTGCAGGTGCTTTGGACACAGCATCTCTGATACTCCCGGCCTCTTGCAGGGAGATGATTAGGTGCATTCTGAGATGAGGGAGCCAGGCCTTGGAAAGCTGATGCTCCTTGTTTAAGGTGACACACCTGGCAAGTGACCCTGGTGGGATTTGATCCTAATAGCCCACCTTTCACACCATAACCACACTCACTGCTTCTGTCTGGGTTAATGTACAGGCTTCAGGTCCTGTCTTTCCTTTCAGAAAGACTGTTCTGAATAAGCTGTTACAACAGGCAACAGCCTCCCTTTGAAATATAGTATTCATAAATGTGTTTACTAGTATTTAAAAACAGTTTGATAAATTTTAGAGTCTTAGTTACCATTCCATTGAAAGTTTGTGATCTACTTGACAGGAGTTGCACTAACAGATGTATTATTTTCCTAGGGCTGCCATAACAAAGTTCTGCAAACGGGGTGGCTTGAACATCAGGAATTTATCTCATTGTTCTGGACACTAGAAGTTCTAGATCAAGGTGTGGGTTGGTTGCTTCTGAGTCTGTGAGGCAGCATCTGTTCCATGCCTTTCTCCCAGCTTCTGGTGGGTCCTGGCAAGCTTTGACTTTCTTTGGCTTGTGGAAGCGTCACTCCCATCTTTTTTTAAGGACACCAGTCCTGTTGGATTAGGGGCCCACGCTACTGCAGAATAATCTCATCTTAACTGATTACATCGGCAGGGACCCTATTTCCAAATAAGGTTACATTCTGAGGTACCGGGGGTCAGGACTTCAACATAACTTTTTTTGGGGGAAACACAATTTAACTCATAACAACAGAGTAGTTATTTAGACAGACATGCACAAGAGGTGTGAGGAGATTCAGCCCTTTTCCAGTATCCTCTTCCTAGTGTCTGAGCCACTCCAGGTGGTAAGTAGGCACTGTAGCCTAGTGGGAAAAGTTTTGTAGCAGACAAACCAGGATAGGACTCATGTCTCTGCTACCCGTGAGTTGCATGCCTCATTTTTCTCATCTATAATGGATTAATAATTCCTACTTTAAAGAAGTTCTCTGAGCCCTCAATAAATCTTAGTTTCTCTTTCTCTTCTTTGCTGAAGCACACGTGCAATTATTATCAAGAAACGTAGACACTCTGCCTCTGTGTTGCAAGAACTCTAAGTGAATAAAGATCAAGGAATACTGCAATGCACAGCCTAAAACTTAATCTCTCAGTTCATCAGCCCTTCTGAATTCAGCTGTGATTTTGGACTGAAGAAAACTTAGGCCAATTTTGAAAACTACCTAACAAAAGTCTTCAAAAACCTGAGATCCAATAAGAAGGCCCCGAGAACAGGTGCTGGCATACATGTGACACCATCTCACATTTGTCATCTGTTCCCAGTATGAGGTCTTCTGCTTCCTGCCTGTATTGGTGACAAGGGGTTTATTGGTCATAATCTTTTAGAAACAGTAGGTCTAAATTATATCAATGTTTATTTAACCCAAGTATAAAGAAATATATATATATGTTATATATAATACTATATATGTATATATATATAAAGTTAATACTTAAATCCTTACATCCCAGATACAGGTAAGAGAATATATCACCTTCTTCGCAATGTTCATCAAAATTCCAGTGAAAGAAATTATATTTATCCAGAATTTTCCAAATTGTTTAGATCTTTTTTTTTGGCCGCTCTGTGCAGCATGTGGGATCTTAGTTCCTTGACCAGGGATCGAACCTGCGCCCCCTGCAGTGGAAGTTCAGAGTCTTAACCACAGTCCCAGAATTGCTTAGATCTTAACCCTAGCTTAAACGAGGTTAATTACCAAAAAAAAAAAAGGCTAAGTACTTAGACCACAATTACTTACCTCCTTAAATAATAGGTTTTATTGAATTCGATTTTATCATTATGGCCTCACCTTTCACTGAAGGATCTTAGAAGAGACAGCTTTGTGAAGACTGTTATGTATGGACATGTTACTACAGAAACAATGCGTGACATCTCTCAAGATCTCCACTAAGAAACTCTACTTTAGAAATATGTTTTAGAACTAAGTATTAGAGAGAAGCTAGAAACGAGTATATTTTCTCAGTAAAGAAAGCAAAAATCGCTTCACCGATGATATTTTTCTGTTTTACTTTGGCCGCCAGCAAGCTCAGAGCCAATTCCGCCACCCATCTACAGCAGCCATATGAGTTCTTATGACCAAAACCTACTTTAAATTATTTTTTTTCCAAATAGCGACATTATAATTTTGATTTTTAATTAACTGCTCCTGATAATTTTTATTTTTTATTATTTTTTAATTAATTAATTTTATTTTATTTATTTATTTTTTTGGCTGCGTTGGGTCTTTGTTGCTGCACGCGGGCTTTTCTCTAGCTGCGGCGAGTGGAGGCTACTCTTCGCTGCGGCGTGCGTGCTTCTCATTGCGGTGGCTTCTCTTGTTACGGAGCATGGGCTGTAGGCACGTGGGCTTCAGTAGTTGTGGCTCGTGGGCTCTAGAGCGCAGACTCAGTAGTTGTGGCGCACGGGCTTAGTTGCTCCGCGGCATGTGGGATCTTCCAGGACCAGGGCTTGAACCCGTGTCCCCTGCGTTGGCAGGTGGATTCTTAACCACTGCACCACCAGGGAAGCCCATAACTACTCCTGATAATTTTTTAAAATTCATATTTAACTCCATCTTTGTGTGTTTTCTATTTGTTTGTGTTAGTTTCCTTTTGCTGTGGTAATGAATGACCACAAACTCAGTGGTTTAAAACAACACAAATATATACTCTTTGTTTTGGAGGTCAGAATCTAAGATTGTGGTGTTGGCAAGACTCTGCTCCTTTTGCAGGCTTCAGAGGAAATTTTGTTTCCCTGCATTTCTCAGCTTCTAGAGGGTGCCTGCATTTTTGAGTCCCTGCCCCTTCCTCCATCTTTAAGGCCAGCCGTGTAGCATCTTCAGACCTCTCCCTAACTCTGACCCTGACACTTCTGCTGCCTTCTTTCCTTTATAAAGACCCATGTGATTACATCCGGCCCACCCAGATAATCCAGGATAATCTCCCCATTTTAACATCCTTAACTTAATCGCATCTGCAAAGTCATTTTTACCATGGAAGGTAACATTCACAGGGATTAGAAAGTGGACATTCTTGGGGGACCATTATTCTGCCTACCACACTTTTCTAAATACCTCACCTCTCTTTGTAGAAAAAGGCTCAGTAAATAAGTAGGCATCTCTAAATTGGTAGCTTTGAACCTTCAGATTTTGGGTTGGTGTTTTTAATCTTTCAATTTGGAACAATCCCTATAGAGGTACCAGATGAAAACAGTGACCATAAGAATTAATAATACATTCTATATGTCTTGTCAAGGGTAGAACATGGGCTCATTTGCAATAGAGCTCAATTTTGTGTGATGTACGAGGCCATTTTTCGTAGAGAGCATTGGGGACTTGACTTGAGGCACTGAAATTCTTTACATAGTGAGCAGTTATAAAATTACTATATTTTGGGAGCTTGTCATTAATACTCAGTTTCAACAGGAGACCTACTTATTATTATTACCAGTAAAGATACTTTGTAAACTGTGTTAATTGTATGAAGTAAACATTGATTTAGATCAAAGTTGCTGACGTTTCCCATTACTTTGCTTTTAATTCCATATCACTAAGGTGCATAATTTATTATTTCTCATCTTGCAAGCAAAGTCTGCTTGGGGCTGATTCAAATGGTGACTTTTGAATAAATGCACTGTGTTGGCTGTTTTTTATTCCAGTGGTTGGATGGTAAAGAAATTGAGCGTTCAGAAAGGATTCAGGCATTACAGGACTTTCCAGTAGTTGAACAACAAATCAGAGAGCAGGAGAAAGCTTACTGCCTCAAACGAGCCAAGGACAAGGAAGAGGCTCAGAGGAAACTGCAGGAGGAGGAAAACAAAGGCGAGAGGGAGGGAAGGCACACAGGCTTTGATGGACGTTGGTACACAGACATCAGTGCTACTCTGTATGTAACTTTTTTTTTTCTTTTTAAAAATTGTCAATATCCTCCTGTTTTATTAATTTTTACTTGTACAGTATGAGTAAAAACAACAAGGCAAAACCAAAAAGCAGAAATAAAAACCTTTCATTTCCTACTGTGAAGGGCTGTATGTTACCACAATGCAGGAAAGAACATTGAATAACCACTAAATACTACTCTGTATGTAACTTAATAGAGTGTACTTTCTGGTTAACTTGTGTTAAAAAGTTCTCTTCCCAAGGTGTTCACAGTTTCACTTATATTCCAGACAACTGATTTGAAGAATAAATTATGATGTGAATTTTGGGTGAAGACGATGTATGTTCATCCCATTGTTTGTGACAATTCTGTGAGGCTTGCCTCCCTTAAAGCCTTTTCAAACTAGCAACTTTAATTTGCATCTAAAATTATCTTCAGACAAATCTCTCTAAAAGATGCACAGGAAAGAAATAAACAGGTGTACTTTGATTTATAAAGTAGGAATATTTTAGAAAAGTTAAATGCAAATCACATTATTATAAATTGAATAATTTTGATTACATCATAAGATGTTCTGTTTTGTGAATTATGTAATGAATACATCTTTAATGCGATTAATAAGCCCCTAATTGGTCATTTTTACAAGCATGAATTTTTCATTCTTGCTTATTTTAAGAGAATTGCACCTATAGTCAGGTGATTTGATTCCACACAACAAAAGCTTTAAATATTTTGTAACAGAATCTCTTAAGCTTGAGAAAATAATAATTATAAAATATTTCAGATGTACATAAATGTTAGAAAAATAAATAGGCAGCTTAATAATAAATGTCAATAGTTCGCATGTTTGCTTTGGATCTTATTTTATTTTATTTCATTTCATTTCACTTCAGTTCATTATTATTTTTTTTCGGGCATGCCACACAGCATGCAAAATCTTAGTCCCCTGACCAGGTTTCAGAGCTACACCCCCTGCAGCAGAAGCACAGAATCTTAACCACTGGACTGCCAGGGATGTCCCTGGATCTTTTATTTTTAAATGAGAAATAAAATATCAATAGAGGAGAAGCTCCTAAAGTATTTCTCCCCCATCCCACTCCTCCTTTCATCCTCCATGGTGTCCACCATCCTAAAGTTAGTATGTGTTTGGTATAATGTTGATCCCATCCATATTGTAATGTATTTACTACGTAATTATGCCTCCTTAAACAAGAGTAGTGTCATGTTGTTGTTTTTTAGCATGAATATCTTTCTACAGCTTTGCTTTTCATTCAGTATTATGTTTTTGAGATTTATGCATATGAAGACACGTAGAACTAGTTCATTCATTCTAACTGTGCAATAAAATTCCATCGAATGAATAAATCACAGTTTATCCCAGAGGTAATATTCAGAATATTTAGCAGCAATTCTTTATTCCTGACCAATCAGAATATGCACCAGCTCCAACAATCTGTGGTTTTCCCTTTCTTGTTTTTTTCAGACAATGGGGCACATGTCTCCTTGTGCTAGTATGGAAGTTTCTGTAGTGTATTCAGCAATTGCTACATATTAATTATAAACATCTTTTTGACTTTATGTGCATTGCCCAATTGTTTTTTAAAGTGTACTAATTTTAACTCATATATCAGCAGTATAGGAGAGTTCCTAATCTTTGCCAGTAGTAGATAATGTGATCTCTTAAAACATTGGCTAATCAAGTTGGTTGTTAAATAGCATCTAATGTTTTAATTTGAATTTCTAGAATGACAAGTGAGTTTCAGTATCTTAAATGTCTTCTTTTTTTTTTTTTTTTTTGCGGTACACGGGCCTCTCACTGTTGTGGCCTCTCCCATTGTGGAGCCGCAGCATGTGGGATCTTCCCAGACAAGGGCACGAACCCATGTCCCCCGCATTGGCAGGCAGACTCTCAACCACTGTGCCACCAGGGAAGCCCTTAAATGTCTTCTTATATGTTTATTGGCTATTCAGATTTCTTCTATTCAAGACCTCTGCATATTTTAAATAAGTTGTACTTTTTTTTCTTACTAATTGATAGTTCTTTTATATTCTAGATGCAAATTCTTTAGTCCTTATGAGCTTTGCAAGTATCTTCTCTCTGTGACTTGTGTTTAATTTTGATAAGTGCTTGTTTTATAGAATTTAGAAGTTTTTTCTGATCTTGTTTATGAAAATTTTCAATACCCCAGTGTCATATCTGTCTATCTGGAATAACTTCACAGCAGTGTGGGGTAGGGTGCTAATCACTTCCCACACAGGTTTGTTTGTTTGTGCCCCATTGATTAAAGTGCTATTCTTCTCCCGTATTATATACCCTCTTCTCGTGATTCATGGGCCCATTTCTGGGCTCTCTGGACACCTCCATGGGAGTACCTCCACATGGTTTAAATTTCTATAAATCTTGATCTTTGGTAGGAGATATTTTCGTGTTTCAAAATTATCTTGGCTCTTCTTGACTCTTTTTTACTCTTCTATGAGAATTTTAGAATCTGCCATTCAAATTCCCCCCAGATCCCTAGTGTAATTTTGGTTGAAATTGAATTTAGTTTACACGTTAATAAGGGGAAAGTTGACATCCTCAGGACATTGATTCTTTCCTTTCTGAACTCTATTTATTTAGACCTTCTTCTGAGTCCTTCAATAAGTTTTTATAATTTTTCTCTATAAAGGTTTTACACCATTTCTTATTAGATTTATTTCTAAGTATCTTGTAGAATGGGATTTTAAAAATAGGCTTTTTTTTTAATTGATTGAAATATTCCATCTTGTGGAGTACTCCTTTATTTTTTTTTAATTTTTATTATTTTTTTTATGTTGGGGGTAGGGGTTTATTAATTAATTTATTTATTTTTGCTGTGTTGGGTCTTCGTTTCTGTGTGAGGGCTTTCTCTAGTTCCAGAGAGCGGGGGCCACTCTTCATTGTGGTGCGCGGGCCTCTCACTGTCGCGGCCTCTCTTTTTGCGGAGCACAGGCTCCAGACGTGCAGGCTCAGTAGTTGTGGCTCACGGGCCTAGTTGCTCCGCGGTATGTGGGATCCTCCCAGACCAGGGCTCGAACCCGCGTCCCCTTCATTAGCAGGCAGATTCTCAACCACTGCGCCACCAGGGAAGCCCAAAAATAGGCTTTTACTTGGGTCTTTCTGATGTATATAGAGACAAATGGTTTCTGTGTACTGATACTGTATTATGCTATCTTGCTGAACTTTTTAAAAAGATGCAGCAGTTAGTCTGTAGATTAGCCTGTGTTTTCTATGTAGAAAAACCCATTTTTTTAATAAACAGCAACTTAAAATTGTTTTCCAATCCTTCTACCTCTGCTTTTTATTTTTTATGGTGCCTGCTGAGCCTCCAGTACGAGGTAGAATAATAGCAGTAAGAATGGGTGTCTGTTATCTTGCTCCTGACTTTTAAAAGAATGTTTCCAATTCCTCATCATTAAGTATAATGATTCCTGTGAGGCTTTGGTAGAATTAAGTTAGTTTTCTTTTATTCCAAGTTGATGAACAGCTTTTATCATCATGGATACTGGATTTTTATTGAATGTTTTTTCTGCATCTATTGAGATAATCATGTTTTCCTGTGGTTGTGTTGAATTAACATTAATAGATTTTTCAATATTAAACCATCCTTGAATTTCTAGAACAAACTCACTTTGTCCACATTTTTTTTTCAATTTTTTATTGAAGTATAGCTGATTTACAATGTTGTGTTAGTTTTAGGTGTACAGGAAAGTGATTCAGTTATATATATATATTCTTTTTCAGATTCTTTTCCATTATAGCTTATTACAAGATGCTGAATATAGTTCCCTGTGCTACATAGTGGATCCTTGTTGCTTATCTATTTTATATATAGTAGTGTGTATCTGTCTCACAAACTCTTAATTTATCCTTCCCCCCACCTTTCCCCTTTGGTAACCATAAGTTTGTTTTCTATGTCTGTGAGTTTGTTTCTGTTTGCCAAACAAAATTTTTTTAATGAGAATGAAACCAATTATTTCAGTGGCCATTAGCTAAAATATTGTAGAATATTACAGATTCCCTTAATAGATTGTTTTTTTTTTCCAGTACTGTAAAGAACCATAGCTATGTGGCAAAGCATTTATTTTCAGTAATTTGCTCTATTTTGCTTATAAAACTGTCTAGTTGCATTTTATAATACGTAAGGTATCTAAGCAGATTTTACTGTGTTCCGTTTATACTATTTAAATTTCATATTCTGGTAGTTTTTGTCCCTCCTTTCAAAAAGCATCTTATTTGAAGGTCAACTAAATGAGCATTTTGTGTCATCTCATTTCAGTAACAACAATAACAAAATCTAACATTTAATGAGTACTTACTATTTGCCATACTTGGTTCTAAAGCCTTCCTGTAGATTTTTTCATTTAATGTCCTTTTGTAACAGAGCATATTCTAGGGAGAGGTGAGGGGAGAGAGCCTCTCCTAATTGTGTGCTGTTTGAATGATGTCCTTTTCTCTCTGCTAGAATAGTCTCCTGTAAGTAGTGTTGCTGTCTATCTTGACTAGAGCTGTCTCTCTGGTGCCTGGTACACAGAAAGACAATAAATATTACTTGAATCCATGTTGAATGAATGTTGAATATCATATAATACTTATTTGATGCCATATAGAGACATCATGTAATTCTCTGACAGCCCACAAAACATGAATAAAAAAGAGGGCAGAGCACCATTGCCATATAAAGCTACAAAATCCAAAGTTATCCATGAAAAATGGAGTAGTTAGAGGCCATACCATGGGCGATCTCATGTATCCCACTGGAGAATTTTAGAGGCAGAGAATCATTAAAGAGCCTGGAAATAATATGATTAAATTTTTAAGAAAGATTCCTCTGGGAGCAGGGTGGAGGATGGAATTGAAGGGTGCAAGACTGGAGGTGGAGTGATTGCTAAGGCCCAGTGGTCCCTGAGTTTGTCTGATCATCAGAACCTACTGCAAAATATTGTAAAGCAAGGGTCCTGGACCCCACTTCAAATCAACTGGAGAGACTCTGGTGGGAGCCCAGGAATCTGTACTGTGTATAAAGCTCCCCAGGTGACTCACATCGACCAGGTCTATGAACCCTTGAACGTGATTACTGCAGTATTCCTGGTGATAGATGAGGTGGGCCTGCCCCAATGCTGTGGCACTAATTTCCTCCAACTTGGCTCAGATAGGCTCTCTTTCAGACACATTTTGTCATTCAGAGGTAAGAAGATAACACACACACAAAATATAGATATTTAAGGGACAGCATTCAGGATGAAACTCAAACATCCATTATTATTGGTTTTAACGTGCCCTGTGTTCTTTTCTAGCCCATCTTCTGAAGAGAGCAAAGACGACGTCCAGGCACCAGAAATACAAGAAGGGGAATGTAAGAAAAAGAAATTAGACAGCGGTGAAGACGACCTGGAATTCTGGAATAAGCCCTCTTTGTATACCCCTGAATCTAGATTGGAAACTCTGAGACATATGGAAAAACAACGGAAAGACCAAGAAAAATTAAGGTATTCCATTTTATCCTGTCATTGAGAGTGATGGAGTATATTTTCATGATTGTACCTTGTTTTACCCATTATCTGTGTTAGCTATCAAACACAGACTTTGCTTTTTCTAATTTCAGCTTTTTGTTGAAGTGTTATCTACTAACCCTTCTTTAGGATGTCATGAATCGTGGTATTTTAGGTAGGGTTTTGTTTCTATGACCTTAGCTTTTTAACAACTTTAAATGTGTCAAATAAGAGCCTGGCCTGGTTTACAGATACTAGTTATCCAAGTCATTCTGTTCAGTGTGCTGTAGTCTACACGATCTAATGGGTTCCTGAGATGTTTTCCTCTTCTGAATGCCCTCTAATTGTCCTGTGTCATGGAGAATAATGTAGTTCATGGAAACATGAACTTAATTGGACCTGAGAACCCAGTTAAAGATCCAGAAAAATGTGAATAAATTTACATTATAAAATAAAGTTAAATGACATAAAATCTGTATTAAAAGAACAACAGAAATCCAAGATGAAGAATTGCCTGCAGTTCTGTCATCTAAACAGATTTGTCCATCTGCTCTTCTAGAGCTTGTCCATATATGCCTTTTTAAAGTTTTTATGTATTTTCAATAAGTGTTTAAATAAACAGAATTTATGTTCTACATGTTCTTTCATGTTATTCCATGAATCTTTCCTCTTTGCTCCATTTATTTTCCTCCTATCTCTGCCCCTTCATGGTAATAAGAGTTAGCAGGCTTGGGTCCATCCTACCAGAACTTCCACCACCTGCTACAATCATATAAATGATTTCTGCAAGCGTAGGATTGAGGGTCTTTTCTTAAAAACAAAAGTGGACTTACATTTTATGTATTCTCACTAAATCATCATCAACACTTTTCTATAACTTTCTAGACGAGTAGGTAAAGAGTGAACACATTTTTCAATAGCTGCAAAATATTTCATAGCATGAATGTACCACAGTCAATCCAATCATTCCTCCATTGATGGACATTCTTGATGGTTCCAAGGTTTTGCCCCTGTAGATAATGCTGTGATAGACATCCTTTTATGTAGATCCTATGTACTGGTATTTTTATTTCTATAAAATAGCTTCTATTTGGCATTTTAAAAACTGTAATTTTAGCTAAAGTAGAAGATGTATACACAAATGGGGAATTAACAGTTAGCTGAGTAAATCATGCATAAAATAGACTCATTTAAATATTCGTGGCTATCTCATGAAAAGGAGTTTTCTCCCCCATTCGAATTATCTGGCAAATTGTCTTGGTCACATTTTCGCTTTACAGATATAGATATAATCACACAAAAATGTGGCTCGATTGTCAGTTCCCAGCAGTGGACTTCATCACAGTGAATTGCTGATGTATTCACAAATACCTGATTATTTTTTCTTAAACTGTTTCACACATTAATTGCTTTTATATTATCTTTGTTTATTTTTTTCTCTCTCCCGCCCCTTGTTCCCACCTACCCCTAATATTAAGTGAAAAAAAGAAGAAAGTGAAACCACCCAGGGTGCTGATCTGTGAGGATGGGAGAGCCCTGAATGTAAATGAGCCCAAGTAAGTGAGGCCGAGTAGAGACTTGAAGAAGCAGAATGTGTGGTGTTGGTCATACGATGGTTTCAATGACACGTTTGTTCTGCAGAGAATATATCTGACCACTCTTAACAAACTTGATGAGCCTAATAAGAATGTCATTTTGTGTGTATTTGAAAGCAGAACATCATTATGCTTTCAAGTGTGTAATGTTATATTTCGTTTTCTTGGCATCCAAAACATGACCTTGACGTATGGAAATCTTAGTTATTCTGTGTCTCCTGAAACCTTGAACCATGTACAGTTTTAGGCCTGAAAATTCCAAGTGCATTATTGTTGTGTTTCTTAATTTTTAAAACTCTGCCATGAACAAGCTGGCTGAGGATACTGATAGATCTCCTATACGCCTACTTTATACTCTGGAACACACCTGCAAAGCATTCGAGAGCTAAGGAAAGAAATTGATATAAATACCTCGATGGAGTTGATGAGAGAGGAAAAATATTCCAACTGGAAGTCCTCATGTATAGTGGTATCTAGCTGTTTTTAAATTTTAAACTAGAAAGCAGGCGGAAAAGGCCTTTTCTAGTCAAAGTACAGATCAAAAAGCCTACGAACTCGATCTTGTTGGCTTCATTGCTCAGCACCTGTTTACTTTGATCATTTCGTTTGCTGTGCTGTTACCACAACAGAAGAGGTGCTGTCCTAAATCACTCCTAGGCGTCATTCACGTCACCTTCACAGCAGTCTTGTGTGGTAGGCAGTATTTCTTCTTCACAGGTCAAAAACTTGAACTGAGAGGTGAATGACTTGCCCAAGGCCACGTAGGTAATAGGTGGTGTGTCTGACTTGCCTGTGCTAGCCCATTTCTAGTGGTTTCCATGATCAAGTTCATAATCTCACCCCCACCTCACCCCACCACACACACACACACACACACACACACACACACACACACACACACACACACACACACACACACACACACACACACACACACACACCTTCTTTATCCAGAAGTCATGAATGCAGCACAACACATGATGCTAATCCCTGGGGATACAGAAGTGAATATGACAGATTTCTGCCTTCAAGGAACTTAAACATCTAGTGGGGAGACTGTCTCTTCAGGCTACAGCAGGGCTTGAGGGAGACCCTCTGGGCTCTGCGTGCCCCTAGTGAGACCACAGAAGCTTCTGCAGTCCCATCGTTTTTATATTCCATGTTCACATCATTTCTATATTCAGTCACATCTTTTCAAATCTCAGCCATCTACTTAACCTAACAGATTTGCCCAGATTGATCATACTTTCCTTCTCCAAACAGGTTCTTCCCTTTGCTTCTGATTCTTTGACCCTACTACCTTCTCATCTTCTGCCTTGCTGGATCCTTTCTGTCTTGTCTCCTAAGTGCTCTGGGGCAAACTCCTCAGCTGTCTTCTCTTTCCACATTCACTCTTTCGAGATCTCACCAAATCCCATGATTTCAACACTATCCTTCCTTTACTTACAACCAGACCCAACCTCTTCCCTGAGCTCAAGACTTGTATATGCACCTAGCTATCTGCTCTCCTGTGTGGATATAAACTATGTGTCGTAGGCTTATCGTGGCTAAAGCAGACATCCTCACTTCTATCCCCACAACCACGTACCATCAGGTCCTCAGAGGTCCTCCAGCTCAGGAGTGAGCATCCACTGGGTATCAAGACCAAAACCTCGGATTCATCCTCAATTCTTCTCTCCCTCCTGTTATCAGTGAGCTCTTCCTTCAGAATTACCAGAATCCCACCCCTTCTCATTCACTCCATTGCCACCACCTTAGAGGAAGTCAACCTCCTCTTGCCTGGATGGTTGCAATAGCCTGTTAAGTGGCACACACCCCCTCTCTTAAGGAAAATTCCTGGAAAGCACCAAACCACATTTTCTTTACGGAATTAAATCACATGATCTCATCTAGCTGCCAGGGAGGCTGGGGAATGTGGTCTTTACCCTGCAGAGCCATATTCCTCATTAAAATCAGGGACCCTGTTACTATGGATAAAGGGGGAGCAGACAGTGGGGAATATCAGTCTCTGCCATAGAAAACCTCCCTGAAATTACCTTTCAAGAGATGGATGACGGGAGAGTTGAAGCTGGTGGCTGGAGCATGGGGGAATAAGCAAGCAAGGCAGAGGAGAAAGCATATAGGAAAGCGCCAGAGATGAGATCGAGAATGCGTGGGTCATTGGAGCACCTGAAGAGGTCCCGCCAGGCAGGAGTGTTGAAAGCAAGTGAGAGTGACCGCCACAAGCAGACATCCTGCTGGCAGCCACACCTGGGGGACAACCTTACATTTCTCCAAACAATCTAGCCTACATTCTTTAATATTGTTGGGGTATTATACTTTGCAGAGTAATATGATAAGTGAAACATTCAAAATAAAATTAACCAAGTAATTCTGAACAGTACATCGACAGTATGGAAGTTATACCTAGGACTCAATCTCAGGGTACAGCTGAGATTTGAAATCCTGCCTCCAAGGCTCACATGACCTCTTTCCCAGCTACGTCAGCCTCTCTGAGCCTGTTTCTTCTTCTATAAAATGGAAGTGATAGGTCATGGGCAGCATCTCAGCATTTCCGGGGGCTAGGGAAAGGTCACCAATGAAAGGAGACGAAAAAAGACAAGACTGCTTAAAACTTAATGGAATGCTGGATAAGGACAAGCAAATGCAACATGTAATTCCCCATCAATAATTCTGTGTTTTAGTTTGCTTCTTGCAAACCCGAATGAAATGGAAAAGAAAACTTTAACCACCAGGTGTCTCTGTCTCTGCACTGATGCTAATTTTTTTTTTTTTATGTAGTTCAGGATTCTCATATTGAAACAATGTAAACAGGAATAATTTATGAATATGTTGTAGGTTTCTTTTGAAATTTTTAAACTAACAGATTTTATTGACCAGCTACCAAAATAAGTTTGTCGTTGAAGATTATGACATAGTTTTTATCAAATTTTCTTTTGATACTGGGATGGGGTTATCTATAAAGTATCGCTAAAAACATCCTCTTTCCCCGCCCCCCACATGGATTATTCCTTAGACTTGACTTCTCTTTGAGAGATGATGAAAAGCGTAACCAGATCGTCCTGGACCTGGCTGTATATAGGTAAAGACCTTTTATTATGCATTTATTTCATGGCATTTCTTGCTATTTTCATTCTCAGTCACAGCCCCTTGAGTTCTTAAACATGAACAGCGGCCTCTTTATCACTGGCTGCCCCCTCTTCCCAGGCCACGTCCTACATCCTAACTGGTTTCACCCCCGCACTCCCTGCTTGCTTACCCCTCATTCCCGCATCCTGACAGCTGCTCTCCCCCAACCCACAACTGTCCACAGCTGTGACATTCACACCATCAGCCTGCGTCACCTTCCACACTTCCTTGTTGAAGCCATTTAAAGACACCCGGGCCATCTGCCTCCCTCCTTGAAGATTCCAGGTCCTGGCTCACTTCCTGTGTCCTGCTGATGATTTCAGGATCCACGTTCAGGACCTTTCTGCTTCTCCAGCCCTTTCAGACCCACCGAGGCCCCAGTACTTTTGTCCTTGTGCCTCCCTCTGCCTGTATCACTCTCACGCTAGGTGTCCTCATGCCCTTCAGGCCTCTGTTCAGATGTCACTTTATTATAGAGGCCTCTCTGCCTCACCATCCAGTATAGACCAGTACCACCCCTGCCTCAGCACATCCTTCCACCTCTCCCTGCTTTTTTATTTCTACCTGACAAACTCTCAATTTACCTGTATTTTGAAACATGTGTAGTTGAGGCAGAAACTTTTATTTTTTTGTTCCTACCTCTTTATGTCTCTAACACCTAAAACAGTGCCTGACACCCGTTAGGAGCTCAGTAAGTACAGGAGTAAATGGATGAATGAATGAATGATTTTGACGATGGAATCAATGAACATTTACATTCATGAGTTGTAATAAAGGCATTTCTATTTTTGAGGGATTTTATTACATGCTCTATCTCATTTAACTTCTCAGTAACCCAGTGGCATAGGAGAGATTGTTATCCTGGGATTACCCAAGGAGGGTGAGTCTTGTGAAAGTAAACATGGTAATTGGAGAAGCCAGAATGTGAACCCTCAGTCTTAGGTCCAACTTTGTTTCTTTAATTGTGATAAAATACACATAACTTAAAATTCACCATTTCAACCCTTTCAATTGTACAACTCAGTGGCATTCAGTAAATTCACAATGTTGTGACACCATTACCACTATCTACTTCCAGGAAATTTTCTCACACATAAGGAAATCCCGTACCCCGTAAGCAGTCACTCTTCATTTCCCCCCTTCACCTGGCAACCACTCATCTGCTTTCTGTCTCCATAGTTTGCCCATTCTGGGTATTTCATATAAATGAATCAGATCTGGCCTTTGTGTCTGGTTTCTTTCACTCAGTATAATGTCTTCAGGGTTCATCCATGTTGTAGCATATTCATGGCTGAATAATATTCCATTGAATGGAGAGACCACCTTTTTGTTTATCCGTTCACCCACTGACGGGCACTTGGGGTGTGTCCATCTTTGGCCGGCGTGAATGGGGGCCGGCTCTCAGTGCAGCCCTCCCTCATCACACTCAGCTGCGTCTCCCACGCCTCCAACAGCCCTTCTGCCCACTTGCTGCCAGGTCACCTGCCTTTAAGAAGCGCTGCCTTCCATTCCAGCCCTCCTCCAGCTGACTGCATGTTCTCTGTTGCTCCAACTCCCTGAGCTTCCCTTTCTGCTGTTTTTCAGTTAAACATTCCCTTTTTCATCCTTTTAAGTCCTTTCCATTTTTAGGCCTTATTCCTGGAGTTCAGTGAATGTGTACCTCTTTCTCCTTTTAGCTCGATTAGCTACTTAACATTAATCCTCAGATGAAAACTTTCCTCATTTCCCCATGCATGTACCTTTTCAAGGACTGGTGATATTTCTCCTGTCTAAGTAGAAAAATCCTTCCATTCGCATGATTCTGTCCAAACTATTACACTAAAATTCCTTGTTATCTTCACTGGCACATGGATGTATGCATGAAAGTTCATGCATTCGTGTATACTTCCTGCTTCTATTCCTTCCAATAGCTGTAGAATGCCTGCTACATGCCACGCACTGGGAGACTGTAACCAGCCTGTTCTGAATACAGTCCCTGCTCTCCTGGGTTTACGGCCCAGTGGGGATGGCAGACAATACATAGGCAGGCATCTAATAGGTAATTACAAAGGGAGAAGAGTGCCGTACGGGAAAAGGACAGAGTTCAGGGATGGAGAACAATGGCGTGTGTAGTCTGGTAGTTGGCGGTGTAGGGGATGGCTGGAGAAAAAGGGAAAGCCAGGGACGTGAGCACTGAAAATTGAAGGATAAGATGTAGCGAGCTCTACGAAGGACTGGTAGAAGATTATTTTAGGCAGAGGAGAACAGCACATGCAAAACCCTTGTAGGTCGGGGCAGAGGAACTTTAGGCGGCCCTAAGCACGAAAAAGAATCTGTAATCCATAGTTAAAGTGGTAGATAATAAACATGAAGTTGTAGGAAAACCTGACTCTACTTTTAATTATTTTAATTTTTCATTAATTGTAACAATGCTTTATTACCACTAACTATGTACTAGGCATGGTGCACGTGTCTTCTTAGCAATCTTAGGGGATAGGCACTATTTGTATCCTCATTTTACAGGTGAGGAAACAGAGGCTTAGAAAGGTTAAGGAATGTGATCCAGGGTAATAAAGCAGGAAGGGGAAGGTGGAGTCAGTCCTCACAAGCCTGGTGGCTAAAACCTGAGCCTGTCACCCCTGTATCGTCCTACCTGCCATGATGTTTGTGATTTTTGAATCATCGCTGCATTTTCAAATATTTTAACATGTATAAAAATAATCATTTGGCCAAACTTCTTATTTTAACGAGTGATGTGGAATCTAAACCTTTCCTCTGCTCGCGAAGTGTAGAACAATTGCCCCCAGTCCTGAGGTCACTGCCATAGAGGGAGAGAGCTGGGCTTGCTGGGCAGGATGGGCTTGCGGAGCCAGTCTTCCGGGAGAGGTAGGATGGGGCAGCTGCAGAACAGCTGCAGGGAATCGAGAGCCCTAAGGGCGCAGGAGCTTAGTGGATTCAGCATTCCTGGCTATTCAAGTCAGCCTTAGGGGCTTAAAATAAAATATTCATGAAGGAGCATGGCAAGCCGTTCTCTGCAAACCTCTGGTGTTTCAGGCCGCAGATATTTTGGGGTAAGGGGCAATCAATGCCAAGTGTACTTGTGGGTCTAAAAATGAAATTGCTGATATGTTGAATTTCCGGCGGTCTGGGCATGAATTTAAGATGAATATTCTAAGACCTGTTTAGCATGGAAATTGTAAACTTTCTTCACTTAAAATGGTCCCTCAAGTGGGACTTTGTATTTACACTTCTTTAAATGGTTTTGAAAATTATAACACTCGGTTGTTGAATTTTGAAGGTATATGGACACCTCTTTAATCGATGTTGATGTACAACCAACTTACGTGCGAGTGATGGTCAAGGGAAAGGTAAGTGTAACCTTTGGGCTGTCCCCGTTTCAGAAGCTCAGCCTTGAATCAAACTAGCTTGCCTCAAAACAGATTTAAGTGATTTTAAAATAGAAAAAGAGAAACCCAGTCAGAGTGCTGTTTTTTTAGACACATGATTTTAAATGATGGGAGTGGTATGATAAAATTTGTATTTTTAACCTGTGTTTGTTTTGTTAGTACTTTTTTCAGAGCTGATAAGATGGTCATGTATGGGTAGCCTATGCTTGAAGTTATATTTAAATAATGTACCCATTTAAAATAATGCACCCATTTAAAATTGTCAGTGATTTCATTCACAGCAACTGTAACTTTATCACTTTTGAAATAGTAGTTTTTGCTGATTCTGAGCTTTCATATCAGTTAGCTTGAAGACATTAAAATGGAAATGTGTTGATGTTTTATGACAAGAAGTTTTATCTATAAATCCTTTATCAGCCATGTTCTCATAAATGGACCAGTCACGATCTGTGACTAACTGTTCCTCAGACAATTAATTAAAATTCGTAAAATCGTTCATGCATATCAAGCATTGACCATATTTTATTTTTTCCCTAATAAGCCTAAGCAGATTTTTTAAATAAATGGTGAATCTTAAATTTGTAATGAAAACACCTCTTAAAGTAACCCCCTCGTGTAATACGCACTCACTCTCCACACTTCCTGTTTGCTTTCAGCCATTTCAGCTTGTCCTTCCTGCAGAAGTCAAACCTGACAGCAGCTCTGCTAAAAGAGCTCAGACAACAGGGCATCTGGTGGTCTACATGCCCAAGGTAGGTAGCCTCATTTGTTCAAACCTCAAGTTCCTAGAGGAACGTGGCCTGCCAGGGCTCCTGATGACTTGTGATCGAGGTCTTTTGGGCTGAGAGAGCCAGAAAATGTACTTGGACCAGCTCAGGTAGGAGAACAAAGGCCTGTGAGAAGGGAGAGCTGGGACCGGGGCGCTGTGACTGTTGTAACTCCTCCTACCTCCAGTTCCTGCCTCCCAGCCTTCCTACCTGGCAGAACAGAGTGTGGAGGAGGGGTGCGTAGATCACAGGCGCCATGAGCATGCCCCGCACATGGTAATCAGTACTTTCCTTACCAATAACTTTGAAAGGAGATGTAGTAGGCCTTGGGTCTCTTAAAAAAAGTGTGGTTGAATTCCAAATATTGAGCTTACTAAGATTCGTGACTTTGGGCAAGTTATTAACCTGGTTCTGGGCCTCTTTTTCCTAATATCGCTTTTAAGAAAGATAATACACATAAAATTCATAGCATAGTGAGCACTTATTGATGCCATCATTGTTGCTCTTTATATTATTTTTATGATATGGACTAGATAGTATTTTTTTTTTTTTTAAAGAAGATGTTGGGGGTAGGAGTGTATTTATTTATTTATCTTTGCTGTGTTGGGTCTTCGTTTCTGTGCGAGGGCTTTCTCTAGTTGCGGCGAGTGGGGGCCACTCTTCGTCGCGGTGCGTGGGCCTCTCACTATCGTGGCCTCTCTTGTTGCGGAGCACAGGCTCCAGACGCGCAGGCTCAGTAGTTGTGGCTCACGGGCCTAGTTGCTCCGCGGCATGTGGGATCCTCCTAGACCAGGGCTCGAACCCGTGTCCCCTGCATTAGCAGGCAGATTCTCAACCACTGCGCCACCAGGGAAGCCCAAGATAGTATTTTAAACTAAAACTCTTTCTTGTCTTTTATTTGGGAGGAGAAGTGTTGTATATGTATTTTTTTCAGTTTTTTTTAATTGAAGTATAATTGATTTACAATATTGCGCTAGTTTCAGGAATACAGCAAAGTGTTCTGTTTTTTGTTTTGGGGTTTTTTTTGCAGATTACATTTCAGTGTAGGTTATTATAAGATAACGAATATAATTCTCTGTGTTTTGTAGTAAATCCCTGCTGCTTATCTATTTTATGGATAGTAATTTTTATCTGTTAATCACATCCTCCTAATTTGTCCCTCCCCCTCCCTCTTATGCTTGGTAAGTCAGACAGAGAAAGACAATACTATAAGATATCACTTATATGTAGAATCTAAAAAATAATGCAAATGAATCTGTATACAGCACAGGAACAGACTCACAGACATAGAGAACAAAACTATATGTGCACTTTTGATATGGCTGACTTCTAATGACTGGTAGTGTTCCCTCCGCTGACTTTCAGACTCTAACTTTGATCTCAGAGCTGAATGTCTGAGACAGAAGCTGTTTAGAAGCCTGAACAGACTTAACATGGATAGATGACAATCCTGAAAAAACTTAAGGAAATAAAACTTAAAAAAAAATCATCTGTCTATATGGACTATTCCGATTCCTCAATACAGGCTCTGTGAATGAGTTAGGATGTTTTGTGCTGCAAGCTGCAGAAACTCCAAACAGAATTGGCTTTAACTGGAAAGAAGTGTTTCAACTCTTGTAACAAGATACGGAAGGTTGGGAGGGCCCAGTCAGGGGAGGGTCAGGCCCTTTCTGATATGTTAGCTCTGTACTCAGACCTGCTTCCTTCTTGACATGAGCACTTCCTTCTTGACATGAGTTACATGAGTAACTGGGGTGACTTGCTTTTGTGTTCTTACCTTGCACAAAAATGGAAAGACAAAGAATCAGAGAAAGACCAGAGAGAGGACCTCTCCCATCGCCATGGAATAAAAGCTCCTCTGGACTGATCTGGCTAATTTAGCTGAAGAGGCTAACAAATCCTGAGGAGCTTAACCCTGGACAATGAAACCAATCTCTGGCCAAACAGATGGTAGTCCTTTCTTCGTTCCTATTATTTTATGTTTGGTTACTGTTATCTCATCTCATGAGCTAGGGGTAGGGTCAGCTTTGCCCCAGTCACTCAGGTTTCAAAGGGGAAGAGTAGATAAACCAGTCAACGTGGGGTTCTCCTTGTGAGAAAGAAAAGGGACCTGGGGGACACAAAGATTATAAACTTGATTAACCAATAAGGTTTCTATAATGGTTTAATAATCCTTCATTTTCCCAAAGCCAGTTTTGTAACAGATTATGAGTAATCAGTTATGTATTTTTACTCTGAGGTAATAAGACAGCAAATACAATTTGTTGTCAAGCAATAAAACAACAAACACAACGGGAAGAATCGCATTGTCCTTGTTGACTACAACAAATTAAGGAAATGCTTCTATGCCAGTTAGAATATCCTATAGGGAAATCTAAGCGATAACTCAATTACCTCAGTGTTTCGACAGAGACATTTGAATGACACTGCGATCAGCATTCTCCTTTCTTTTTTTTTTGAAATTTCCATTCTAACTGAAAAGCCAAAGATTAAATGGTAACTGCTATGTTCCTAAAAGGAAATCAAGACGTATGATTTGCGTACCTTTTACAGGGTGCCAGGCAGTTGATCAGAAGACCTCTGCTATCTCTGCTTATGAATCTTTTAAATGAATACAACATTCTATTTCCGTTATCCTTTTTGTCTTTATATCTGTTTAAATCTTCATGTTAAATATACATAAAAAGTATAAAAAATGGCTTATTAAAGAAAAGGCATTTTAGAAGTGTTTGGTTGAAGATGAGATAATTTACATAGAAAGAATCAGAATGGTTCTTTTTTTTTCTTAATAAGAAACTATGTATAACATTTTTTCCTTTGAGGTATATACTTTTTTAAGATTTTAGACTACTGTCTAAAAGTAACATGGATGTGAAGCTATCTCTATCATTATTCCTTTTAATTATTAAATTATTAATTATTAATTTATTTACTTTTATCATTTCTTTTATATACCTCTGTCATTATTCCTCCTAAAAGGTAGCTATTTCTTGCCCTGAATTAGTTGTTTTTGACTCATGAGTTAGGTATTTGTAAGGACTGTAAAGCTCAAAGAACAAAAGCTTTTTCTTAAAAATTAAATTTAAAAAGTCATCAAAAGTTAAAAAATAAAATTCTAACTTCACTTATGCTTACTATTAAAAATATGTGTTACTAAAAGTTAACATCTTCATAATTCCTATTGATTGAAACAATTGAAGTACCGAAGTTTCATCCACTGAGTCGTTTTGTGTGTCTAGGCTTCTACCTTACTGTGGCATTGTCCCTGTCTGACTTGCGTTATAACGACTGAGGCATCTTCTTGGAATTTTAAAGCATTTTGTAAAGATCAGGTAGACACTGAGGTATACTTTTGTTTCTTTCACAGAACAGTGTGGTCAATATGTTAAGTGATAACTTAGTACTTCAGGAAATATCTAATATAGTCCTTAGTAGTTTATAATACTTGGATACTCTAAATTAATGAAAAGAAGATCAAATTTGCTGTTTAGTTTTTCCTTCTTTGTGATAGCATTTGTAAAGAATACTTGTGAAAAGCTAATCTGTTTGATGTCTGTGCTGTGATGATTATATTGTTTATCTGTGGAAATTCAGTGATTAACTTTGTATACATTTTTTCAAGGACACAATTTGTAATGGAATCCACAAAGTGCTCAAATATTTCTTATTCTACATTTCATTCAGTATTTTGTCATGGATGTCAAATGGATCCTTTTCCCTTCCCTACCCCTAAATGAAGCCGGATCTATACAGACTGGGTGCCGATAAATAGGCAAGTTTCGTTAAGTCTGTTCCCTGTCACGGGTCATGGCTAGATGTTCTGTTGCTGAGCTGCTGGTGGGTTCTCCCAGCTCAGCTCCACATCCCAGGGACTTTCATCTCATGCTAGCTCTACAATACCAGATGCTTTCCAACATCTGCCACCAAGTCTGTAATCTGTGGGTTGATAGAATACACAGATATCACAATCCTTGCCATTCCCTGCAGAATTCCTGTCTCCATCTGCCATCTTTGTAACGTAACTCGCGAGTACCACATCTCCCAGGCCATCTCCTCCACCGTGATTTCAAGGGTTGATGTCTTGGCTAGAAGTGGCAGGTGGGGTAGTGGTTGCAAAGGTACTCTGGCTTTCTCAGAAAGTGGCATTAGGGAATAGAAGTTCCCTAATTGGTAAGTCAGACAGAGAAAGACAATACTATAAGATATCACTTATATGTAGAATCTAAAAAATAATGCAGGAAAGTAGGAAACATTCTGTGTTTCATGAGGCTTTTCTCAATCCTGCTCCACTTGTCAGTGGCATTTCTCTCTAGCTTCCGGCACTGTTGTATTCATTAGTCTTAGCTTTTGGGATTGATGTAGAGTCTCAGTCTCCAGTGCCTTTTATTACATTAGATGTATCCAGTCAAGAAACATGGACCTATGGGTGTCACCTGTCTACCAGAAATTCACTATTCTTCTTTGTTCAGCACAGCAGCCAAATGATCATTTTATAGTATATGTAAATCAGACCAAGTCTTGTTTTCTAGTCATTCAGAGTTAAAAGCAAAATCCCCTGATAACCTCCACCTGCCATTATCTCTCTGACGTTATCTTCTACGACTTTACCCTCTGATCATTCCAGCCACCTTGGCCTCCTTACTATTTCACAAATGTGACAAGCATCCTCCTACCCCAGGGCCTTTGCACGTACTGTTCACTCTGCTGGAATGCCCTTCTCCCAGATATCCTCATGATTTGTTCTCTCCCTTCTTTCAGTTTTTTTTTTTTTTTCTTAAGTGTTATTTTACCATGGGGTCTTTCCTGATCCCGATATTTTAAAAGTTTCCCCTTCCCCATCCCAGTACTCTTTATCCCCTGTTCCTGCTGTATTTTTCTTCATAGAATGTATCACCACTGGACAGTCCATGTATTTAATTGTTTATTTCTTTGTCTATCTCCCTCCCTCAACAAAAATTTAAGCTTCATGAAAGTAGGGACTTTTG